TTGTGGAAGGTGGTTGTTTGGAAGGGTCTTCTTGAGCATCATCTTGGAATTTATCTCCCATCTCTTCCAACAAAGAACCTTGAAGTAATCTGCATTCTCCCCCTCCCTCCCTGGACAATTGCTTTCTTTTAAAACTCAAGGTTTCTATGTGGCAGGCAGTGAGGGGAGGCAGCGCAGCGACATGAGAGGTGTCAATCAGACAGTTATAATTTAAAAATTAGTTTGACCACCAAGGAAAGTAAATATTAGTCAAATCAAAGTCAGATTAACTGATGGATGCTTTCTACAGCACATACTACTAGCTTTTTGAGGAGAACCTGAAATCTGTATTGGCAAATCAGTGCTTGTTTATAGGAAGATCTGTAGATTTGGAGGATGGAGTCATTGTGGTGTATACAGTGGTGCCTCGCAAGACAAATACCTCACGGGACGAAAAACCCACAAGACGAATGGTTTTTGCGATCTCTGTGGTGCCTCGCAAGACAGCTTCTTCTATGGCTGTGCTTCGCCAGACGAATATTTTTTCGCAAGACTGATGCCTCACAAGACAAATGAATTATTTTTTTTCTTGCGAGATTCCCATAGGATTCCCATGCAATGCATTCCTCTGGGAAACCACTTGTCGCAAGACAAACATTTCACAAGACAGCGCTACTCATGGAATGAATTACTTTCGTCTTGCGAGGCACCACTGTATTACATGCAGAAGGTGGCAGGTTCAATCCTAGTTTAAAAGAATGTGGTAAGCATGAAACATTTCTGTCTGAGACCATAGAAAGTTCCTATTTGACAGAGTGAATAAAGAGATATTGGTCAAGGGCCAAAGGGGAGGGAGAAACCAGCAGAGTGGACTTGTGAGGGGTTCAAAAAAGGTTCTGGAGCCACCTACAGCCCATGGCCTGTATTTTGCTCGCCTCTGCAATGTTGGCTAGATGGTGACATGGTTTAATGTGCTTCATCTCTCCATATGCTCTTATTGCAATGCTGTGCTCCTCAAATGAAGTACCTTTGTGAGGCAAAGTTGCTTACAGGTGGGCCAAAGCCTATAGTGTGGCTGCTCTGACACCAGACAAATACCACATGGACATTCTCAGAATTGTACTTTGTATGCCTTTGTTTAGCTGGATTGGTGGGGTGTTGGTACATCCTCTGGCATAGAAACAAATAACAGTGTGGGGTTTTTTGGATGTGTTACAGACAGGAAAGAGCAGAAACTGAGCCAAGTTAGCATACCTCAAGGAACATCTTCCACCTGTACTCTTTGTACGTTTTAAGATGGTAGTATGGGGTGGTGTTCTACTTTGAGAGCTTAGTGCTCGGAATTTCAAACACATCACAGCTTAGATATTTTTGATATAGCCTTTTTGTTGGTGGTAAAGTCTGGAATGCCAAAGTCCATACAGTACTTGGCGGTGCTTACTTCTGTCACAACCTGCCTAGTGAAGATATGTGATGGTCTTGCAGACTTGTACAACTTTTTCTGCCCTTTCTGACAGACCTAATAAAGATAATAACCCAGTATGGGCTTTGGAATTCACTTTATTGCTAACACTGTTACCTCCACTTTTTAAAAACTCTGAAACGGGCTCTGTTTGCCCTCTTCATATACTTTTACATACTTTTGTAAAGCAGTATGTATTAACCAGATTTTAAAACCCTGAGCTTCAGTGGGTATTCCTAATTACTGCATTTGCAGAAGATGTGACAGTTTTTATTGTTGCACATTGAATAGGGATTTTTTTAAATAGGACCATAGCACAGAACATTGAAAAAGAAGTGCAGTTCCTTTTATGTTACAGTACTTAAATGCTGCTTTTGTGGGGGCATTTTTCAGTTTATTATTCATTTTTCAGGGGCAGCTAACCAGGGCAGGTAGGGAAATCACTGAGATTCATAAAGATATGTATAAAGTTGATCCAACAGGAGTTTTTAAAAAGGCACTTTATATGCCATGGACCGAGTTATCAAGCAGTTTTTTTTTGCAAGAATGTCTTCATCTAACAAAACCTGGTAATTTTATTTAGTGCCACTTGGCTGTTTATATTCAAGACAGCCAAGAATATTCCTTTTCATATAGAATGCCCAAAATATCTGTTATATTAAAGATAAACACATCAAAGCAGCCAGTGTAGGTTAAAGAAATTAATTCCAGGCATGGTATTAACAGCTGAAATGAAAATGATTTGTCTAAAAGAACGAAGAGCATATGGCGTAGACAAGGAAAGACCATTTGCACTTTATATTTGCGGGGGGGGGGACTTTCTCTGCCTCTCAGATGGTAAAAAGGACACTTCTCTTATCTTTGGTTGGTTCCAGGAGTCCAGAAATGAGCTGTAGATTCTTCAGAGCTGTATGCAAGTCACCAAACACCACTGCTCTCTTCTAGTTTTAAATTTAAAACATGCTTAAGTTGTGTTGCAATTAAGTATGGAAAATGAAGCACAATACTTCTGAGGCTGGAAGTTCCATTTAGCCTTCTGTAGCTAAAAGATGGTTAATTGACAGGCTTTTATGTGTAGGTTTCCCTTCTACCTCTGCATAGCACTCAAGTGTTTCTGTTCGATATCCTGCATTGAGAAGGTTAGGCAAGACAACTGATTTTGCAGCTGCTGCTGGAGTCCCAGAACAGTGCCGATTGTGTTTGTGAGAAGGGAGGGAAGGAGCTTTTTAGTCCCCCTTCCCCTTTTTGGAAGGCAGACACTGTTTTCTCACCCACTGAGATCTGGAAATAATAAAGGGCAGTTTCTGGGTTCCATTTCCTGACCAAATGATTTGGACTAATCTTCAGACTGCAAGGTTGTCTGTCTCCAACATGAATCTCTCAGGAACTCAGCTGCCCAGGATTTTTTAACTGGATTAAGTCTGGTCCTTTCCTTTTCAGCATTGAAGTGAATTCTACCGTCTCTCTTGCTGGGGAAAAGGAGACGGGAGTTTCTAGGATGCCAAGAGCACATGATTTGTTTGCTGGCAGATCATCTGAAACTGATTTGCTTGGGTTTCACCAGTCATCACTTGACAAATCACTGTGAATCATTTGGTATTGGTTTTTCTAGTCAGTGACAGGCGTGCTCTCCATAAGAGAGACGTTTTGGATAAAAGAAAAGCATAGCTTGCTAAAGTTTATACAGTAGTATGTGTAATAGATGCTGAGTGGCTTGATTATAATAAATAAAAAAATAAAGCAGACAAAAATGTTGTGGCACCTTAAAGACTTAACTGCTATATTTTATTAAAATCCAAAGATATATTTTAATGTGAGCTTTCGTAAACAAGTCTACTTTCTCACACCTAAGAGTGGGACTACATGGCAAATATTTACACATTTTATTCATATCCCTAAAACAAAGAGACTGGTTTTTGGGCACAAGTTGTCAATAGTTTAGCATTTCATACCTGGCAATAACCTTTAAGGTCTCTGTTGATATTCAGCTTGGATTGGTGGCAGGTGCAGCCCAACATCTAAAGAACCAAAAGCCATTTCCCATGGTTGGGACCATTAAGTACTTTCTTGGGCTGCACATGTCTGCGTTGAGACTTTGTCATGGTTTGATGTAGTAGGTGGAGAGGCATCCAGTGAGGTGTTGAACCACCCAGAGCACAGCTGATCTGTTCTGATTTTCAAAGTTCAGCAGGGTCAGCACTTGTAAGTACTGTACAGTGGGGTCTCGACTTACGCACTTAATCCGTATTGGAAGGCAGTTCTCAGGTCGAAAAGTTCTTCAGTCAAATCTGCATTTCCCATAGGAATGCATTGAAAACCATTTAATCCGTATCTGTTCTTTTCGTCCATAGAAACTAATGGGAAGCTGCTATTCAGCCTTCTGCCACTAGAGGGGGATATTTTTTCTTTTTTCCTTTTAACCTAAGATGACTTAGCTTTAAAAAAAAGGGGGGAAAGAGTTCGTAACTCGAATCTGAGTTCGTAAGTCAAGTCCATATATTCCTATGAGAGCGGTTCGTAAGTCGAAACGTTCGTATGTCGAGCCGTTCGTAAGTCGAGACCCCACTGTACTCAGATGAAGAAGCACCCAGAGATACAGTATCTCCAGGTAGGGCTATCTTTCACTTCAGCCTAAAATAATCTTGGCAGGCACCTCCTGCCAGTCGGTATCGATATTTAGACTAGATGGACCAACTCAGTATAAAGCAGCTTCCTATCGGAGTGTTGTATGGAAGCGGTGAATCCATCGCCACGTCCCAACTGTAGCCACTTTACAGATGGCACTTGGAGCATCTGGAGACTGAGTAGGAGGTGGGTAAACATATTGTCCCCATCATTATGCCTTCTGTGTCTGATGTCAGAGCACAGAAGTCACCTGGATGGTGGCAAAATGAGGTGGTAGCAGTAGATGTACGTGCACAGATAGCATGTTTTTAATTCATTCTTACTTAATTTTAACTGTCTGAGAAGAGGTTCAGTAGGATTTTCTGCCTCATGTGTCCTTCCAGATGTTCTTGGACTTCAGCTCATATAATCCCTAGACAGTCATTGGCGATGGATGATGATAACTTCAGATCAACTATATCATGAGGCCACAATTTACTCACTTTCTGGTCTGGGTGTGCCTCATGTGCAGAAATTATCTAGGTGGCCTTTACTCCCATGTTCCTTGATTTGGGTAGGTGGGTGGTACCATTTGTTGCTTTTGCCTTAGCTGGCAAAATACATTAGACCAGCCCTGCACTAGAGGCAGAAGCAGCTGTCTGAGTGGTAAAGCTCAGCTCTGTGACGGAATGACATAGTTGTTCCTGTAGCCATTTCTGGATAGTAATTTCCTGTGAGACCCCGCTGAAACTCAAAGTGTCAACTAGAATATCTGAAGACGAGAGTTGTATGTGCATTTTACTCCCTCAAGTTGGTAACCTCTGTCACATTGACTTTTAAAAAAAAATATTATAAGCAGCCTTAAGAACTTCAGATAATAGGCAGTGAATAAACAATCCTGGCAAATAAATATCCTGAATAATTTATTCTCTTCTTTTCCACCCTTGATAATTAGGATTTCTGCAAAGGATTTGAAAAATATGCTCTCTCAAGTCAACTACCGTGTTCCTAATATGAGGTTTTTGCGGGAGAGGCTAACGGTAAGTACTTGGTCTTCTCTTGCTGTCTAAACATATGAAGAGCCTTTTTGACAGTCCTTGTCATGAGCTGCACCACACAACACTGTATTTCTTAATAGTGAACAATACCCTGGTCCCTGGTTCAAGGAAGCAAATCGCACATGTCCATGCCCAGAAAAGAATGGCCAGATTCTTTTGGCTTCACTACTGTGAAAATATCATTCTTTTGTCAAGTTTCAATGGATCTATTCATTTGTTTTTCAAAAAGGGATGACCTCTTAGCATCTCTTTATATTATACCACTCTTAGTATCTCTTTATATTGTGTTCCCTTTGTTAGCCTCATTTTCCAGCCCTCTCAGTGTGGCACAAGAACATGAATAAATAGGGTGTAACATATTACGTAAGATGGAGAGGTGTTATTTGTATGAATTCAGATACTTGGGATAGGTTAGAGAAGGACTAAAGTTAAACCAGTCTTCTGATGACTAGTGGACCACGTGATGATTGCTGAGTGTATAATACTAAACTAGGTGGACCCTAAAGTGGCCAAAGAAGTCATTTATTGTAATTTTAAGGAAAAATGCATACTTAGGATCATTTAATTCAGATTAGTAGTGCTTTAATTGAGCTTTGATTTAAGAGCATAGGAAGGAACTGACCTTCTGCCCAGTCAGATTATGGTTCTAAACACAAGTGCTAGTCCCAGGTACAGGAGGGCCACTTGAATCAGTTGCTGAATGATAAATCCCATGGATTTAGGCCTAGATTTAGGTCAACCCAATATTGTCTGTTTGATAAATGTACCTTCTATCTCTTGATCCTTTTAACTGCTCCTAACTGACAAGGAGTACATGTGTAATAGATCCTGGCTTTGGTGAAACTGGTACTTTGTTAATTTGAGATATATTTGTTTAGAGGTGAGAAGTTTTTGCTCTTCACATATGTTGACCTACAGTTCTCACAGTTGCTCACCATTGGGAACACTTGATGAAGCTACATTTGGAGCCAAACATTTCCTTCCTCCTGCATTGGAGGAGCAGAAGGGTTGCAGTGGAAAGATAAACAGGTCTCACAATGCTATAAAGTCAGCCTTATTGGTGTTGTATTTTCTTCATATGGGAGAACTGACCTGTTATATATGACTGAGGGCAAGCATTATATATTAAAAAGCATACATATTTTCTGATTGTCTTCCTTTAGGACATGGAACAGAGAAACGGAGACATCACATATGGGCAGTTTGCCCAGTTGTATCAGAGCCTGATGTACAACGCACAGAAAGGAGTGAGATGCTGATAATTCTGTTACTTGATGATATTTTGTAAAATCCAGATCCTTCATTTCCCCCGCTCCCTCTTTCACAGTGCAATCCCTTCTGATCTAAATGAGAATTTAATAACATCTAATTAATAATCTATCACCTTGCTTCTGTTAGGTGACATTTGTGCATGTAGAAGCAAGCCTCTTGCCCTAATCCTTGTCTAGAGAGCTATGCTCACAATGTGTTCTACATGTACATTTCCTTCTACTGTGCATCTTCAATTGCATTGCATAGGCATTAGAACATTGTGGAGATCAGTCCAGCACAAAGCCAACATGGAATTTTGGGAGGGATGGTGAAAAAGTGGATCTTCATCTTCCTACACCTAGCAGAGTCAGATATTTCAGTGTTTGCAATTGAAATGGGGTATCTAAAACACGCTAGCTGTTTTCTCCCCTGCTTCTGGTTTGTTTGTGTTCTTAGGAAAAATATATGACATTTTTCATTTGAAAAATAATAATTCAGAGCTGACTTAGAGATCAACAATAATGAGTGAAATGTAAAAACAACCTAAAGAATTGGAGGGGGGATGTGGGACTATTGCCAAACTATTGGGTATCTTTATTGATGTGACCTTGCCAGCAGCAAGCAAAGTAACTGATATATGCATTTCTTCTTATGCAGATGGCTGTTCCATTCTTAGAAAGGTAAATGCTCTTTCCTTTTCTGGGGAGATGAATTAGAGTGCTGGAAATTAAAAAGGTTTGGCTTTCAATTAAGCATGTGTTAGCATTTGCCAATGCCTCTTACATGTAGATTGGTTGCTCTCTCAGTACAATTCCATTTGTCACTTTTCAAGATGTCTTTTAAGGATAATATTGTTATAAAAAGTGTTAAAGTAAGATACTTGTGGATGGAATTTCTGAACTAGAGATTCGCAAAATATATTACGGGACAGGAGCTCTCCTTTTCAGTTCTTAGTTCCTAGATGATGCAGTGATTAGGTACATATTTTATATAGGTTCAACTGAGCGTCAAAACTTGGAACATTTACTTTCGTGGACCACAGCGTCCGTAGCCAAATAATCGGAATGGTCAGTGAACATGCTAGTTATGGGGCTCTGGAGGTACACACTCAGAGAAGTAATTTTTCCCCGTTTCTTTTGATCTTTTAAATTTTATTACTGTTCTGTAGCTGTGGTACAGAATTTGCCGTAGAATTATTGACATTTCTGGTGCAAAGCTATATCTGATTTCCCTCTGGGGTCTTTTATTACCTTTTGCTTTATGGAGGTACATCTGGTATTGAAATGCCTGACAGCAATGGTTCATCTCTGTTTTGAGCTGGCATTTCTAGTTCTTCATCTGATTCCTTTGTTACAAAATTTCTTGGGAAAAGGGAAAGAAAAATGCTAAGTCGGCTGTACTGTAAATCTACTATCTGTCCAGCCACCCCCAACATGGCAGCCTTTAGATGCACTGGAATATAGCTCCCATCCTGCCTAATTGACATGGCTTTTGATTGAGATACAGTCGTGCCCCGCTTTATGATTACCCCGTTTAACGACGAATTCGCTTGATGGTGAGGTTTTTGCGATCGCAAAACGATGGTTTGAATGGGGTTTTCCCGCTTTGCGATGATCAGTTCTCTGCTTCGGGAACCAATTTTTGCTTTACGACAATCAAAACAGCTGATCGTCGGGTTTTCAAAATGGGCACCGGGTGTACAAAATGGCTCCCCGCCGTGGGTTTTTTAGTTTCGTTTGATGATGTTTTCGCTCTACAGCGATTTTGCTGGAATGAATTAATATCGTCAAGCGAGGCACCACTGTAGTCTGCTGTAATTACTCTTAACAGTGTTTAGGAAGTAACATTGTTTTTTCTTTAATTTCATCTCCCAGAATATGCTAAGCAGAATTCTGAGAGTTCTCTCCCACAGGCCCACACCTGAGAGGCACCTACATTTTGCTGACCTGGATCAGGTTCTGTCTTGGAGACTGCATGGCTGTGTTAGGCCTTACTTCCTCATGTTAATGTACACCAGAGGAAGCTGCTGTGGTGCTTCCTGGGAGCTACAGTTTTTTAGGAGGAACCCTCCATAGAGCCTGATGGACAGGAAGACTATGACTCCCAGGAAACACTACAATAAGAAGCAAGGCCTGCCACAGCCATGTAGCTTCCAAGGGAGCCCCTGATTCCCATGAGTAAAATATAGGTGTCCATAGATGTGTTTCTGTGGATAAGAACTCCTGAAATTCTTCCTGGGTCATTATTGGAGAATTTTGGAAGCTGGAGTATGGAGAGAGAAAAAACCGGAATGGTGCATCCATAATAATGCCTTTCAATTCTGACACTATCTTTGATGTTTGTCTTGCTTCAGAAATGCAGTTAGGTCTGCATGGTGATGCTCTCTGACCAACATGTCTGTGCTTCTCCTTCTAGCAGCGGGGAGAGATCTGAACACAGCCGAATATCTCTGACAGAGTTCCGGAGCTTTTTGCTAGAGTACCAAATGGTGAGTTCAGGGGATAGAAAGGGAAAACAAAAGGAAAGAGGGACAGCTCAATATTTTTTCTGTACCACTAAAACAGTGTAATATCTTTGGGACAATTGAAATGGCATGCACTGAAAACTGTATTATTTGCACTCGTACTGAGAAAAACCTAGACTCCTTCAGTTTCTAGACTAATAAAGAATGAAGGAATAACAATGCCTTGGAACTGCATTGGGGGACATATGCAGGCCACTCTGAGCACCTAGAAGAGGTAGCAGAAGGATTGGAGGAATGTAATTCACCTTTGTGGATTGCTGCCTTGTCTTGGCGAAGGGGCTTGAGTAATTCAGAGAAGCTATGGACTATGCCATCCAGGAACACCCAAGACAAACAGGCCATAGTAGAGAATTCTGACTAAACACGATCCACATGGAGCAGGAACTGGCAAGCCACTCCAGTATATTTGCCAAGAAAACCCCATGAACAGACAAAAGGCTAAAAGATATGATGCTGGAAAATGAGCCCCTCAGGTTAGAAGGTGTCCAACATGCTACTGAGGAAGAGTGGAGTAGAAGTACGAGTACCTCCAGTGCTAATGAAGTGGTTGGGTCAAAGCCGAAAGGATGCTCAGCTGCGGACGCGCCTGGAAGTGAAAGGAAAGTCCGATGCTGCAAAGAAACATACTGCATAGGAACCTGGAATGTAAGATCTATGAACCTTGGTAAGCTGAATTTGGTCAAACAGGAAATGGCAAGAATAAACATTGATGTCCTGTGTGTCAGTGTAGTAAAATGGACAGGAAGGGGCGAATTCAATTCAGACAATTATCATATATACTATTGTGGGCAAGAACCCCGTAGAAGAAATGGGGTAGCGCTGATACAAAGAAAAGGAAATGCAAGAAAGCAAAGTGGCTGTCCAGTGAGGCCTTACAAATAGCAGAGAAGAGAAGGGAAACAAAATGCAAAGGAGATAGGAAAAGTTACAGAAAATTAAATGCAGACATCCAAAGAATAGCAAGGAGAGACAAGAGGGCCTTCTTAAACAAACAATGCAAAGAAATAGAGGAAAATAATAGAAAGGAAAAAAAACAGATCTGTTCAGGAAAATTGGAGATATTGAAGAAACATTTTGTGCAAAGATGGACATGATAAAGGACAAAAATGGGAGGGACTTCACAGAAGCAGAAGACATCAAGCGGTGGCAAGAATACACAGAGGAATTATACCAGAAAGTTCTGGATGTCCCGGACAACCCAGATAGTTTGGTTACTGACCTTGAGCCAGACATCCTGGAGAGTGAAGTCAAGTGGGCCTTAGAAAATATGGCTAACAACAAGGCCAGTGGAGATGATGGCATTCTGGTTGAACTATTTAAAATCTTAAAAGATGATGCTGTTAAGGTGCTACACTCAATATGCCAGTAAGTTTAGAAAACTCAACAGTGGCCAGATGTCGGGATCTAGAGGACTGGAAAATATCAGTCTATATCCTAATCCCAAAGAACGGCAGTGCCAAAGAATGCTCTAACTATCCTACAATTGCACTCATTTCACATGCTAGCAAGGTTATGCTCAAAATCCTCCTACAAGGTAGGCTTCAGCAGTATGTGGCCCGAGAACTCCCAGAAGTACAAGCTGGATTTCGAAGGGGCAGAGGAACTAGAGACCAAATTGCTAACATATGCTGGATTATGGAGAAAGCCAGAGAGTTCCAGAAAAACATATATTTCTGCTTCATTGACTATGCAAAAGCCTTTGATTGTCTAGACCACTGGTTCTTAACCTTGGATTACTCAGGAGTTTTGGACTGCAACTCCCAGAAGCCTTCACCACCTGCTGTGCTGACTGGGGTTTCTAGGAGTTGCAGTTCAAAAGCATCCGAGTAACAAAGGTTAAAAACCACTGGTCTAGATCACAACAAACTATGGCAAGTTCTTAAAGAAATAGGAGTGCCTGACCACCTTATCTATCTCCTGAGAAATCTATACAGTGGTGCCTCGCTTAGCGATGTTAATTCATTCCGAAAAAATCGCTGGTAAGCGATTTCATCGCTAAGCGAAACACGGTTTCCCATTGAAATGCATTGAAAACGGGATAATCCATTCCAATAGGGACGAATTGCCATCCTTAAGCGAAAATCGCCATAGGAAGCGAAACGCGGTTCCCCAATTGAAATGCATTGAAACCTATTCAATGCATCTCAATGGGGGAAAAATACAACAACAAATTTAAAAAGAGTCAGAACAAAGTCAAATTTGGTCAACAAATGGTTTATTAAGTGCACTTTATGATTTCAAACATTTTAAACAGTAAACCTTAACTTTATAAATAACAGAAAAACATTAAAAAAAATAGCAAACATGAGGCTGCTTAAACCATCGTTAAGTGAAACGGGACCCATAATTTAATCGCTATGCGAAGCATGGTCCCAACCATCGTTAAGCGAAAATCGGCCATAGGGACCATCACTAAACGAAGTGCAAAAATGCTCCGAAAAAGTCATCGCGAAGCGATTTCATCACTAAACGGAGCACCCGTTAAGCGAGGCACCACTGTACTTGGGATAGGAAACAGCAGTTAGAACTGGATATGCAATAACTGATTGGTTCAAAATTGGAAAAGGAGTATGACAAGGCTGTATATTGTCCCCCAGCTTATTTAACTTATATGCAGAATACATTATGCAAAAGGCTGGACTGGAGGAATCCCATGTCAGAATTAAGATTGCCGGAATAAATATCAACAACCTCAGATATGCAGATGATACCACTCTGATGGCAGAAAGTGAGGAGGAATTAAAGAACCTCTTAATGAGGATAAAAGAGGAGAGTGCAAAAATGGTCTGAAGCTCAGCATCAAAAAAACTAAGATCAATGCCACTGGCCCCATCACCTCCTGTAAAATAGAAGGGGAAGATATGGAGACAGTGACAGATTTTACTTTCTTGGGCTCCATGATCACTGCAGATGGGGACAGCAGTCACAAAATTAAAAGACATCTGCTTCTTGGGAGGAAAGCGATGAGAAACCTAGACAGCATCTTAAAAAGCAGAGACATTGCCTTGCCAACAAAGGTCTGCATAGTCAGAGCTATGGTTTTTCCAGTAGCAATGTATGGAAGTGAGAGCTAGACCATAAGGAAGGCTGACCGCCGAAGAATTGATGCTTTTGAATTGTGGTGCTGGAGGAGACTCTTGAGAATCCCCTAGACTGCAAAGAGAACAAACCTATCCATTTGGAAGGAAATCAACCCTGAGTGCTCACTGGAAGGACAGATCCTGAAGCTGAGGCTCCAATACTTTGGCCATCTCATGAGAAGACTCCCTGGAAAAGACCCTGAGGTTGGGAAAGTGTGAGGGCAAGAGGAGAAGGGGACGACAGAGGACAAGATGTGTGGACAGTGTCATCAAAGCTAGCAACATGAAGTGGAAGACAGGAGGCAGTGGAAGACAGGAGGGTCTGGTGTGCTTTGGTCCATGGGGTCACGAAGAGTCAGGCACGACTTAACGACTAAACAGCAACAAAATTCACGATCATAAACCAATAACAATTTTTATTTCAGATAACATGTTCAGCTGTAAATTGACTCATGTAGGTTAAAAACAAAATATAATCACTGTATTGGCCGTATCTATTCATGTTGCACTTCAGTGCCAGCCTGTAGTGAGCCCAGGTGCTTCCAGCATGTAATAAGAAATTGATTCACTAGCACAATCTTCATTTCATCCTGCTGATACTAAAAAAGCTAAGCCCAGAATGGCATAGAAGAAATAAATGAAAAGAAAGCAGTCTGCTTCTGACAAGACGGACGTTCTGAGGGTGGGTGGCCCCGTGGCTGGCGGCCTGAGTGACTCTCTCACATTTGGGAGGGGGTGACCCTGGCCGTGAAGAGTGAGGTCCGCAGCCTGGGGGTACATCTGGACCCAACACTCACCATGGAAACTCAGGTGGCGTCGGTAGTCCGCACCGCCTTTTTCTACCTATGGCGGATTGCCCGGCTGCGGCCCTATCTCGACATGGGTGCGCTCACTTCCTTGGTGCAAGCGCTTGTAATCTCAAGATTAGACCACTGTAACGCGCTCTACGTGGGTCTGCCTTTGAGGCTGATGCGGAAACTTCAAGTGGTGCAGAATGCAGGGGCCAGACTCCTCAGTGGAGTGAGAAAATACCAGCGTATTTCCCCCACGCTGGCCATGCTGCACTGGCTGCGAATTTGTTTCCACATCGACTTTAAAGTTCTAATGCTCACTTATGAGGTCCTAAACAGTTCAGGACCTCAATATTTGGTGGAACGCCTACTCCCACCAAGATCTACCTGTGTCACTCGTGCGAGCCAGGAGGTTAGGCTGAGGAGCCTGACGCCAAGAGAGGCCCGGAAAGAAAAGACATGAAACTGGGCCTTCTCGGCAGTGGCTCCTCGCCTTTGGAATAATCTCCCTCCTGAGAGTCGTGCGGCCCCCACTCTGGGCACTTTTAAAAGTAAATTAAGAACATAGCTATACATTCAGGCCTTCCCTCCAGCTAACACCTGATTTTTCTCTTTGTTCTTCCATTTTTTTACTCTATTTTTGTATTGTGTATGTTATAATATGATCTATGTAATTCTTTGTATTATTTTATTGTTTATATTCACTGGAAGCCGCCTAGAGTGGTCTTTTAAGCCAGATGGGCGGGGTATAAATCAATCGATCAAACAAACAAACAAATAAATAAATAAATTAAAAAGAAAGAAAAAATACCCATCCAGTCACCCATATCTGCCTCTTTGTTTCTCTATGGACAAAATACAAGGTGGCTTTTTAAACATGTGAAAAGGCATGTGGGACCATTTTCATTCAAGATTTGTTCTCAATGTAAAGCTAATATATCTGTGCATTACACAGACAGTCTCACACAGAGATGCTTTGATAAATGCATCTCCTAAAGAAGTTTGAGTTCTAGGATCCACATACACCTACCCCCCAGACCATAAAGATCTGATCCTTCACCATCTCTGCACCCCTTGGATATTTTTTTTTATTTACAAAAGGTCCCCCTGCCCTCTAGTGGCTGTGAGGAAATATTGCCATGTTTTTGGCAGGTTCTGACCTCTTGTGGGCTTAGAGGAAACCTCCCCCCCCCCCCAAATAGATAGTGGCATTTGGTTTTGAGACAAAGCACATGTTGAGCTAAAATGACTTTGGGAGGATAGAAATTGCAGTGTCTAGAAGGACTGAAGAGGATTTTTGAGGATTTTTTTAAAATATTAGGAGTGCTTAGGGGACCAAGAGATGCATTTCACCCATCCTGTTTTGAATGATCAGAGAAAATGAGAATTAGCATAATGGTATGAACTTTGAGTTGGAATGTACCAGCTTCAGATCTTAGATTGACAGTATGCTGTTTAAGGTGCCTGTTGGTAACACTGTTCGGTACCCTACTGGGTATTAATACACATCAAGAGCACTCACAGAAGTTGCTGCAGTTAATTGACATGTTACCAGTCACACCTTGCTGAACACCTTATCAATTAGCTATGGAAACTTCTATGATTGCTCTTGAAACCTCGTAACATTTTGGCCAATGGTTGTTGTAGGTTTTTCAGGCTGTTTGGCCGTGTTCCGAAGGTTTCTCTTCCTAACGTTTCGCCAGTCTCTATGGCTGGCATTTTCAGAGGACAGGAGTTAGAACTCTATGTTCTCGTGTAGCGTGTGGGATAGTTGAGTATTTGTAGCTGTGGGATCAGCTTTTTGTCCTTTTCAGGAGATTGGGAGATTATGATGATCAGAGTGTTTTTTGTTATGGGTGTATTGTTGTGATAAGGGGGGGAGATGGTCTGTCACTGTGATTGATGGGTGTCGTTAGCTAGTCTTTTGTGTGCATTGATCACTGGTCCTTGTGGCTGGGTAGAGTTCGTTGACCTTTTGCAAAAAACATCCTGATCGGGGCTGAAAAACCTACCACAACTATCGAATCCTGGCCGTGAAAACCTTCGAGAATACATTTTGGCCAATGTTTATGCATTTTTATCACATTTGTATTTCACACATTCTCCAAAAAGCAACTTAGTTTGAATTTTCCTACTACAGATTTCTAATGACCCTTAAGTATCCCATCCATTGAACTTCATGGCTGAGGACAAATTTAAACCCAAGTCATTGCCCCCAAGTTCAATACCATATTTTATTATTTGCTCTCTCTCTCTCTCTCTCTCTCTCTCTCTCTCTCTCTCTGAAATAAGATGATAATAATGCTAACCTATCTTTCAGTATTCTAGTAAAGTTTACAAAACAATGGTTGCATTAAATGAGCTTAGGAAAACCAACCCGCCTCATGAAGTTCAAAATAAGGGCTGGGTGATATTATTAGAAAACTAAAATACACTAAAACTAGCCTCAAAACATGAGCTTTGGAGTTCTCAGGACTCTTCATTGGGTTTGGCTTTCACATAACTTAAAGCCAATTGACTGCCACTTCTCATGCCAGAAAAGTCCTAAAAATCATTGAGGTCAGTAATTGGAGCCAAAGGACATGAAATTAAGCTACAGTTCTAAGATGGACACTGCAGAATTGAAGAACCAGTTTCAGGTGCAATGTTGTCAGGAGAAATAAGACCAGTTGTCTTTCTCCACCTCTGTGAACAAACGAGTTGTCAGTCACTCATTGTGGAAAGTCCTGAAGATGCTAATATCACCTTTTAAAAATATTGTAGAGGTCCAATGAAGAGACTCTTCAGATTGCATGTCTGTTTTCGTTTTGTTCTGCCTTGTGAAAGTTTGATTGTCTTCTTCATTGTGCTTGCAGGAACTTTGGGCTACCAACCTTTCCCTGGTTCAAGATTTTATGTTCAACTTCCTGAAGGACCCATTAAGGGAGATTGAAGAGCCTTATTTTTCCTTGGATGAGGTAAGCCTCCCAAGAGTTTACAGATGGTCGGCAGGGGGAAGGAAGAGTAAGAAGGAACTTTACACCTACAGCTGTCCCCGGATGCTTTATAAGATTCCCTGTTCTTTGAAGGCTGCCTGCAGGTCGTGTTGGGGCCAATTAACAGATGCCTTTCTCTTTCTTGATCTTGCCATTTCTGTGCTGCTCCTGGGCAATCAGTGGTGTTTTAGTGCTGACTAGAGATAGGGATATTCGTATACGAATACCCCCGCACGGGTAGCAATAACGAGGGCCCAGCCCCCTAGAGCCAGACCGTCCACTCACCTTCCGCTGTTGCTGCGATCCTTTTCTATTGCTCCCGAGCTCGCAATTGGCTCGCCACTCCTGGGAGGAGGTGGGATGACAAGACTCTACCAGGTCAAAGAGTGGCTCGCCGATCGCAAGCTCCAGAGTGATAGGAAGGATCACGGAGCTTGTGGCAGGGGCAAAATTGTGACGGGACCATCTGGCCCCATGGGCCTGGACCCTCGTTATCGCCACCTGTGCGGGGGTATATCTCTAGTCCTGACTCCTTTAGTTCCCTATGCTAAACTGTACAGGTGGACCAATAATAATCTTCAGAACGGCTGATTGGGAGGTAGCTATCATGCTTGCCCCACACTGTAGCACAGCCCTTGTAGCTCTTCACCATTATTGGATTGCATCTGTAGTTGTCCCTAGCCAATGGTAGGGCATAATGGCAATTGCAGTCCAGCAGCACCAACACTTTCCCCATCCCTGCTACAGGGAGTAATGAGATAGGACCATTGAATTAATGGAACTTACAAAGGAGTTGAATCGCGTAATCCCCATTGACAGCAAGGCCTCTAGTGCAATTTATTAATGCTAAGCAGCAGGATTTTGGCTACTACAAGTTGCACACTGAGTTGCGCAACTCAATTTGCCATCGATCTTACCTATATCGATTTCTTCACTTAGCCAGTTTGCCCTTTGCATAATTGTACAGCAGGATTTTGACCATTGGCGTTTCTCTAATGAAAGAAATTTCTCCATTGGCTCACAGCTGCCTTCCTTAAAAATTATACAACTAATGAGATTTTTATAACAGGACTAAAATGGCACCACCATAAATCGTCAAAACCAATTTCACCGATTTGGTGAAGTAATGGGCAAAATGGTGGTTCAGACCAGCAAGGGCAGAAATCGTTGTGCAGTTAAATCCTGTGGATGTTTACTCTGAATTCATTGCTATGTTCAGTGCAAGCTTATATCCTACTGCGTTTAGGCTTTTAGCCCAAAATTCTTAAGGATGCTTTACTGTCATTTTATACTTTGTGTCATTGTTTTGTGCCACTGCCTCCTGTTGACGTACAGTGGTGCCTCGCTTTACGATTGCCCCACATTACGCCGAATCCTCTTTACGACGATCTTTTTGCAATCGCAATTGTGATGGTCTAAATAGGGGAATTTCGCTTTGCAGTGATTGGTTCCCTGCTTCGGGAACGGATTCTTCGCAAGATGATGATTTTTCACCAGCTGATCGGTGGTTTCAGAATGGCCGCCGGGGAAATAAAATGGCTTCCCGCTGTGTTTAGGGATGAATTCCTCGCGGTACAGGCAGCGAAAATGGCCACCATATGGAGGATCTTCGCTGGACGGTGAGTTTTCAGCCCATTGGAACACATTGAAAGGTTTTCAGTGCATTTCAATGGGCTTTTTATTTTCACTTCACAATGTTTTCACTTAACGGCGATTTTCCTGGAACGGATTATCGCCGTTAAGCGAGGCACCACTGTACAAATGTTTTAAATGAATTAAAACAAATAGTCTTAAAAAGTTTGAACCATGTTTACACTTCGTTTCCTTCTTCCTTGTTTCTTCTTTCTGGGAAGTTTCTCACCTTCCTCTTTTCCAAAGAGAACAGCATCTGGAACTCGGATCTTGATGTTGTACGTCCTGAGGACATGAACAATCCCTTGTCCCACTACTGGATCTCCTCTTCACATAACACGTAAGAGAAAAGACGGGGCTCGTATTGTCAGACCTTTCTGATCCCCTCCCTGTTGTGTTCTGCTATTGAGATCAGGGCTGGAATGAGAAGTTAGGTCTGAAGTTTACTTGTACAGTCAGATCAGCATTGAGAAGGCAACAAAGCAGGGGAGATGCATTAATGCCTTCCTTTACATTGTTTTTTCCTTGTTAACAAAGGCATCAGGGGAGGAGATATTTGACTGGGACTGCAATGGGCTCCTAACCTTGTGTCCATATCTTGGCCCCAGTCCTAAAGCTGCTAGCAACTGCTTAGAGTGAAGAACATTTTGCACCATCTTCCGTGCATCTCACAGAGATGTCAGAGGAGGCGATCTAGATGGGGGCCACAGGACAAAGAAGACTTAAGACTTTTGTTCTCCTGCCTACCCTGCAGTGTCATTAAGAAGTAGCCAGTTTTCTCCCCACCTACCAACAGCTGTATGATGCGTCTGCAGTCACAACAACCAAAAATTGGACATGTTATATTTTTTTGGACCACAATGCTAAGAATCCCAAAGCCAGCATAGCTATAAAAGTAACTTTCTCAATCTTAGCAGCATCCCGTTATTTGAGAGCCACAAAAATGTGTATTCCTGATCTACTGGTGCATGCATTGTTGACTTGTAGAAACAGGGCAGAAGTACCCAGATCATGTGTTCGCTGAATCTACTATTCACACAATCTGTGGCAAAATACTACACTGGCTTGGCTTCTAAAGCTTCTTTGCTGCATGTTCCAGTTGTCCTCCCATCAAAATGCACAATAAGTCAGTCTTCTGTGCTCTCTGCCTGGAACAGCAGAACAGACACTGAGTTGTCCAGTGTACAAAGGAGATTGTCAGCAAATTATCATTTGGTTTGAAGCCACTAATTACTAAATCACCATGATTATATACAAGTGGACACACTTGCATAAGAAAGAAAAAAACATTTAATATTTAAAGAAAAAAAGAGAGAGAAAAGTAAAACTTAACTGCAGAACTTAGCTTTTTGTAATAACTAGCTTGCAGAATATGAAAAACAGGATGCTATAATCATGAATGTGCACCATTTGCATTACTTTTTTGAATCTTGCAGTTGCATTACTTCTTTGTAAAAATATCCAATGGGGAAACATTTTTGAAAACAAAGAAGATTTAAAAACAGAAATGATTTGTTGCAGTATTCATGACAGATTCTCCCTTGGTGATGTGTTTCTTATGATAGGTATCTAACAGGAGATCAGTTCTCAAGTGAGTCCTCCTTGGAAGCTTATGCCCGTTGCCTGCGCATGGGATGTCGCTGTATTGAGCGTGAGTTCGGATCTCTTATCTTTCCTGAACCCCAGAGCTGGGGAAATACATCCTCTTTCTTTAGAAGTGCTTTCATATTAGGAAGAAGCCCACAGCTTTGTTTTCGAAAAATACACACTTTATAAGCAGAAGGTCCAGTCTGTGGCATTTTCAGTGGATGTAAAACATCTCTACCTGGCATGTTGTACAGCCACTGCAAGAATCCAGAATAGCCATTGGAGGACAGCTCTAGCCAAAATGGCTTGCAGTCAGGGATTATGGGAACAGGAGATCAAAACATTTGGAGAAGGCCAACTTGGAAAGGCTGGAGCAAACTGTGCTGGGCTTAGATGGACAAATAGTCTGAAAAGTAGCCTCCTGGTTCCATGATAGTTTCATTGAATGCCATTAGCTTGTGGCTTTGGAAAAAAGGGACTCATTTTGTGACCTGATGCTAATAGCCTTATCAATGCAAAGTACAAGGGACGTGGTGGCACTGCGGGTTAAACCGCAGAAGCCTCTGTGCTATAAGGTCAGAAGGCCAGTTGTCGTAAGATCAAATCTTCGTGACGGAGTGAGCTCCCGTCACTTGTCCCAGCTCCTGCCAACCTAGCAGTTCGAAAGCATGTAAAATGCAAGTAGATAAATAGGTACCACCACAGTGGGAAGGTAACAGCGTTCTGTGTCTAGTGTCTGTCCACGTGACCACGGAAACTGTCTTCGGACAAACACTGGCTCTATGGCTTGGAAATGGGAATGAGCACTGCCCCCTAGAGTCGGACAGGATTAGACTAAATGTTGAAGGGGAACCTTTACCTTTAACTTTGATGCAAAGTACACTGTGTTGTACATTGTAGATGCCTTTCTCATGGACCCAATTGCACATATGCTGACATCAAGAGGGCTAAAATGTGTGTGTGTTTAAATTTTTGTTTTGTTTATTAAGACATCTCTATATGGATTTGCATTTCGAAAATTCCAGTACTGCAGTGTTTAAACCCACAAGAGGCAATAAAATCAAGCAATAAAGCAATAAATTATTTAATTAGAATCATTAGGCATTATAGACTGGACTAGTGATCTGAATAACACCTTGTTTGGTTTGCTGCAGAAACAACCCATGTTGGCAGCCTGCCTGATCTCAGGGAGAAAATCATTTCACATGGTGGCCATTGCAGTGAAAGTGGTTGCTGCAATGTTGTTGACTATCAAAGAGCTCTCTACTCTTACCTCTAGATTAGAGATGGGCACGAACTAGTTTGTCCCAGTTCGTGCCAGATTTGTAAAGGTGGCAGAGCAGGTGCTGCTGCTCCCCTCCCCCACCTTCTCAGCCAATCAGCCGCTCACTAGGCCAGCTTGCTTGCTTTTTCCACCTCTTCAGCTAAACTCCCGAGTGAGAGCACAGACTTCTCTGCCCTGCCCTTTTATGTGAGTGGGAGATCAGCCAAGAGGGAAGGGCAGAGAAGCCTGAGCTGTGGCCAGGACTGGAAGATCAGTTGAGGAGGTGCAGGAAACTAGCAGAATGGATCTAGTGAGTGGCTCATTGAGCCAGAGGAGGCAGAAGAGGAGAGCAACAATGCCTGTGCTGCCACCTTTATGAACTGAGACAAACCTGTTTTTGTCCATCTCCACTCTTGATTCTGTGTTTATTGTGGTGAGCACTCCAACACTGGAGGCATTCAAGAGAAAACTGGACAGCCATCTATCATATCTGCTTTGATTTAGATTCCTGCATTGAGCAGGGGGTAGGACTTGATGACCTCACAGGCTCCTTCCAACTCTATGATTCCACGGATTTCCTGGGCCAATGTCCCACCTGCTTTATGTTCTTCATGCTTCAGTGGGTTTTGATTTAGATGTCTGTTTTCTCTTAATATGCTTTCTTCCAAGTTGACTGCTGGGATGGACCTGATGGCATGCCAGTAATTTATCATGGACACACATTAACAACCAAAATCAAGTTTTCTGATGTCCTAGCCACCATCAAGGAACATGCTTTTGTGACTTCTGAGTAAGTGAAATGAGGATTGCAACAGCCTGTCCTTTAAGAATTTACCTTGTGGGATCTCAGATATTTGAACTGTAGGGAACCCAGTCTCTATATGTGTGAATTCTATTATCTATCCTTTTCACTAACCATATGTGCTTACTCAGGTTTGTTTGAGTGCAGAGCTGGGTTTGGGGTACATGAACCACCATCAAAGTGTTGTTGCTTAGGATGATGAATTGTCAAAGAAGTTGCCAGTATACCTCTCTGGCCTGTTTGAATAAATCCTAAGATCGAGAGAAAAACAGTATCATTCATTGTGCATTTAACTGTTTTATACTTTGGTCTTTTAAAAAAAATCAGAGTTCAAAATGAAATCAAGACAACTAGCATTCTGTAAATTAAACAGATAATACAAACTGAGCAAATCTGCATGATTCATCTTACTTTGCATATGTGGGCTTTCTTTTTTAATATGTTACACAACATGCTTTTCTAATAATAAATGTGTCATAAGACTTAGGCAGAAGACAGACACACTCCTTCCAGCTCGCAGACGGCTTTTCTTGCAACACCTCTGATATAAAATAGCATTGAGAAATTTCATCAGGCTGTACTCATTTAACTGTTCCCCCACAATACACAGAACTATGAGGACTAGCAGAGGTTCCCCCCCCCCAAAAAAAGCTGGGATTCTCAGAAGGCTGAATTCTGCATGTACTACATTGTTCTGTGTTTTCTCTGTACTTGGATAGAATCACAGCTAACATAGTGCTCTGAGCATGCCCCAGAGAAAAAAAAATCCTGAATTGTTATACTCTCATAAGATTCAAGTATCTCAATGTGCTGAAGACTTCAGTTTTTGCTTCAGAATGATGTTAAAAGAAATGTGCAGAACTGGCAGAATTTAAAATGCAGGAAAGAGAGAGTGGTTTTCTCAGGGTGAGTTAGATGAGAGATAGTACAGAACTACAGTGGTGCCTCGCAAGACGGTGTTAATTCGTTCCGTGAAAATCGCTGTCTTACGAAAACATCGGCTTGCGAAACGAAAAAGCCCATTGAAATGCATTGAAACCGGTTCAATGCGTTCCAATGGGCTGAAAACTCACCATCCAGCGAAGATCCTCCAAAAGGGTGGCCATTTTCGCTGCCTGTAAAGCGGGGAGTCCATCCTTAAACACAGCAGGGAGCCATTTTAATTACCCGGTAGCCATTTTGAAACCGCCGATCAGCTGTTAAAAAACACATCGTTTTGTGAAGAATCGGTTCCCGAAGCAGGGAACCAATAATCGCAAAGCGAAAAAACCCTATTTAGACCATCGTTTTACAATCGCAAAAACGTTGTGAAGCAGTTTCGTCATTTGAGGCAATTGTTTAGTGAGGCACCACTGTACAATGGGCACTGTAGTTTATTTATTTTATTTATTTAAAATAATTTTACTTCGACTTTCTCCTTAAAAAAGGACCCAAGGCAGCTTACACCATTGAAAGACAATATTAAATCTAAAGCAATAAGTATCCAAATATTTAAAAGGAGCAAGCAAATACCACTTTGAGATATGATAAACACAAGAAGTACTAAAGACTCGGTCAGAGTAGTAATCCATAACTATCCATCTAAAATTCATGTAGCCAGTCACTGAAAGAAAGCTTGCTTGGATAAAGATCTTCATCTGCTTGTGGAAGGACAGCAAAAATAGGGCCAGCCTAACCTCCTGTGGGAGGGAGTTCCAAAGTCTGGGGGCAGCAACAGAGAAAACCCTGTCCTGTGTCCCTATCAGACACACAAGTGAAGGTGGTGGGATGAGAGAAAGGCCTCTCTTGATGATCTTAACACCCAAGCCAGCTCATAATAGGACACATGGTCTTTGAGATAGTTTGGACTCAGGCCGTCTAGGGCTTTATAAGTTAAAATCAGCACTTTGAATTGTGCCCGGAAACTGATCAGCAGCCAGTGGAGCCACTGGGGGGTGGGGTGGGAGAGTTATATGATCCCTGTAACCAGCCCCAGTCAGCAATCTGGCTGCCACATTTTGGACCCTCTGAAGTTTTCTTATACTCTAAAGCAGTGGTCCCCAACCTTGGGCCTCCAGATGTTCTTGGACTTCAACTCCCAGAAATCCTGGCCAGCAGAGGTGGCGGTGAAGGCTTCTGGGAATTGTAGTCCAAGAACATCTGGAGGCCCAAGGTTGGGGACCACTGCTCTAAAGTTTCCATTGGCAGCTGCACATAGTGTGTTGCAGTAGTCCTGTCGGGAAGTAACTAGGGTGTGTGTCACAGTGGCCAGATCAGATCTCTGATTGTTACAAGCAGGGAATTTGAGTTTGGCTTGTGGGAAACAGGTATGTTTTTGTTTACCTTTCAGCTGTCCTGTTATCCTTTCCATCGAAGATCACTGCAGCATAGCTCAACAGAGGAACATGGCTCAGAACTTTAAGAAAGTCTTTGGTGACATGTTGCTGACCAAACCAGTAGATATCTCTGCTGATGGGCTGCCCTCCCCGAACCAGCTGAAGAGGAAGATCCTCATAAAGGCTAGTCCCTTTTGTAGGGGCTTTGAAGAATGATAGCTTCAATTCAAATGGGGATTGGATTCTATGATGCTTAGTTTCTGTAAGATAGTTTTGGCACTGCAACTTCTAATCTCTTGACTTTGCCCACAAATTGTCTAGGATTAGTTATATTTGGTTTGTACAACAGTTTACCCACCTGAACAAGGATGGTGTTAATCCTCATTTTTGTTAAGGGACAAGCCATTCGCTGATATCGTTAATAAGCAGTCTTGCTTTCGATGGTTGTAGGTTTTTTGGGTTGTTTGGCCGTGTTGTGGAGATGGCCTGAAAAACCTACAACGACCATCGGATGCCGGCCATGAAAGCCTTCGAGAACACAGCCTTGCTTTCGTTAACGAGAGTCACTTATAAACAAGTAGTATGCATTTATACTTTCGCCAAAGCCTGACAGACTTGTGAGCTCAAAAACGTCCTCTCTACATATGATTTTTTTCCTGATGATTATTAGTTTGCTGCCGTGACAAAAGATTTTCAGAAGTTTTCAGAGATTTTGAATTTTTGGATGGCAACATCACAAAAAGGAGCAAGGCACCTGTGTGGCTCTACACTCAATTTTGGAGCACAACTCCAACAATCCATCTCCACTGGTTCTGCTGGCTTAAGCTGGAGTTTGGAAATGTTGCTGTTTTGAACGTCCATTCCCAAAATGCCCCGGCCACCATCATGATTGGCCTCGCTACCTGGAGAATTCTGTGAGTTGCAGTCAAAAAGATAACCCATTACTGGAGCTGTAATCACATGAGCATTTTGACACATAATTCAAGTGGATCTTTGATTTTGAGACATCAGGCCTGCTGAAATCCCAAACACCAACCACAATAGGCTCTGTACAAATTGCTTCAGCCATGAACATTGCCCCATGGCTGGATTGCCTCAAGATCACCTTGGCATTTTCTGTAGCTGGCGGATGATGGGCATCAAATGATACAAGAAACCAGCTTTGCAATTAGAAACTCTGCTTCCCTAACATCTACCATGAGGCTTCCACAACTCTACAAGTTGGAAATGTTGTCTCTTGGTTGGTCACTGAGAGATAAGCAGTGAGCTTAATTTGCAAGTTGATGTGTAAACACGGTAGCTCTGAAGTAATGCATTTCTAAAGGGATTGTTTTTTATGACCTAACTCCAAAGCTAATGTATTCTATCGTTTGCTGGCTGTTTCTGTATGTGGCTGCCAGGACTGACTACCAAAATTGTTCAGAATTTTTTAAACGAAGATGAGGATAGCTTATATGTTTTCCCCACCTTTGTTCCTAAGCAAAATGCTGCCCAATGGCTAGATTCATCCTATCCAACATTATTTACTTACCTGGTCACTAACTAGGTAAATGCGTACATGTATATAATTACCTTGAACAGGGGAAAATAATGCAAAGAACACAGAAAATACACACTTCATGCTCAGATCAAGGGGCACACTTCCATTGAATCACCTCTCCCTCAGGCCCATATTCTGCAATTCTATGTGCATCCTAAAAAACTGCTCCCAGAGAGGAGGACTGGAGCAGGTTTCAGATGTCATTGAAGGTTGCAACAGGCGGTGAAAGGGAAGGAAGTCCTAATTCTGCCAGCACTGGATGCTGAAATAGATTGTTGAACCTTCCATTGCATGTTCCTTGTTTCTCCATCTTAATGCAACCTTGGGGAGGACTGTGTAGAGCCCGTCCCTGTTCTGCTCCTTTGAATTGGTACTGTAAACTATGTCAGGAGTAGAAATTAGCAACAGTCACCTCTCGCTCACCACCAGCCCTGACAAATTTTGCTAATTTCATGTTCTTCACCTCTGAAGAACTTTCAAATTCACCTAAAATTGTTCTTCAGGCAGGATTTGACAGGAAGATATCCAGGGTTTAGAGTGTCAAACTCTGTTAGTGCTATTGAAGTACCCTATGTACTGTTGTCATATAATTCTGTGTCAGTGTGTTAGAATGTGGCTGAAGAACCATTGCCCATTCTGGTGTTTTGCACATGAACTCCCAGAAGTCCAAGCCAGCACAGTGAATGCTAAAGAACTGCGGGAGCTGCAGTCCTAAAGCAGCTGGACCTTTTCCACATTTTCCACACCCCTTCCTTAGACATACAAGAAAGCTAGATTACACAACGAGTGTTGATTTTTTGTTTGGTTTTTGTTGTTGTTTGTTTAGAGTTGTGGTTCCCAAATATTCTTGGACTCAAACTCCCATGAGCCTTCGCCACTAGCTATGCTGGCCAGGATTTCTGGGAGTTGTAGTCCAAAGACATATGTGGGCCTGAGGTTGGGAACCATTGTTTTAGAGGAACTAACATATAACCCCTCTCACTGCAGCACAAGAAACTGGCTGAAGGCAGTGCTTATGAGGAAGTGCCTTCATCTGCTGTTTATTCAGAGAATGATATCAGCAACTCAATAAAGAATGGAATTCTTTACCTGGAAGACCCAATCAATCATGTAGGTTTCCTGCATCATTCCTAATAATGTTCAGTAGTGATGTAGGCATTTTGTGGTAGGGGGAGTAAGACTGCTGTGTAAAAGAACAGCTGCCATTCTACTGCATTTCTTTAAAGATGTAATTGCTGGTAAAATATATCTGACCTTGCAAGTAAAGATACTGTTGGTGGTTGAAACAGAAATATACTATCACTGACATGTACTAAACTTAGCTGAAAATTTGTTTCTGTAGGTCTGAGTAGCTAATAGGGAACTGTGGCAAAAGGTTCATGGAATATGTGGATCTTTCCAGATGAATTTGAAAGTAGATATTGTGGGAGAAACAAGGAGTAGCAAGGAAGAAAAAGTGGAGTTGTTTCAAGGAGCAAGAGATACTTGCATACATTAGCCAAAGCTCCCTTGGAGTTTCTTGGCCATCGTGGTATCTTGCTGCCTTAAATATCTTCTACTTCAGAATTTCTGGGCCTATTGTATAGACTAGATGTGGGGACGAATATAAAAACGAATCAGGATATTCTGTTAATATCCTTGTTTTGTCAGAGATTTGTTGCTTCATATTCTTGAGGTCCAGAGATCCCCAACGAATACAAAGCAATGAATATAACCCTTTTACAGTGGTGCCCTGCATAGCGAGGTTAATCCGTTCCGGATTAACCGTCGCTATGGGGAAACATCGCTATACGGAATGGAAAACACCATAGAAACGCATTAAACTTAGTTTAATGCATTCCTATGGCTCTTAAACTCACCGTTCTGCGAAGTTTCTCCATAGCGTCGCCATTTTCGCGCCCTCGGGAAGCGAGGGCAGGGCGCGAAAATGGTGTGGGCGGCCATTTTCTGCACCCGGTGGCCATTTTGGAACCGCCGATCAACTGTTCCCAAAATGGCCGCCGGGTGCAGAAATGATTGCAATGTGATGTTTAGCCTATCTAAACATCGCAATGCGATCGCATTAGCGACCACAAAAAAAAAATGGGTCGCTATGCGGATTCTTCGTTAAACGGTGCGCTCGTTAAGCGAGGCACCACTGTATTTTTGTCCTTTGTCTATCCTCAGCTGTTCCTCGGGTGCATAAGCAGAGAGGGATTTTCCCTTTGAGCAATCGCCCACCATGCTGTCTTTCCAAAGACAGCGGAGCGGGGGATTGTTTGAATTAGCCTTCCTCTGTCTTTCTATGCCTGGGGCGGGAATTGAAAGACAAGGCAAGTAGGACCTGAGCTATCCCCCACCCTGCTGTCTTAGCAAAGAGAGTGGGGTTCGGGGATCACTTCTGTCCTGCTTCCCACATTTTTATACACCATGGTGGGCACAGAAAGACAAGGGAAGGGAGACCCGAGCGATCCCCCACCTTGCTGTCTTAGTGAAGACAGAAGGGTTGTGGGATCATGTCTGTCCCTCTTCCCCTGTCTTTCTGTGCCCGCCAGAGCATTGAAAGACAAGGGAAGTGGGACAAAGGGGGAAGCATGATCAAAGCAATCCCCCACCCCCACTCTCTTGCAGATACAGTGGGGTGAGAGATTGCTTGGATTAAGCTTCTGCTGCTTCTCTATGCCCAGGTGGGCATAGAAAGAGAGGGGAAGTGGGACTAAAGTGATCCCCCACCCTGCTGTCTTTGCAAAGACAGCGAAGGTGGGAGTTTGCTTGGATCAGGCTTCTCCTGTCTTTCTATGCCTGGGCAGGCAGAGAAAGATGAGAAGTGGGACCAAAGCTATTCCCCCCATCCTCTGCTGTCTTTGCCCGGGCATGGAAAGATGGGGAAAGCCTGACAGAAGTGATCCCCTACCCCACTGTCTTTGCAAAGACAGCCAGGGTGGGAATCGCTTGGGTCCCACTTCCCTTCTCTTTCTATTGCCCGTCCATTTTGGCACTTCGTCCCAGTCTCTAGTATGGACTAAATATACTTTCTACATTTATGGTAGCAGGACCCACTGCACAAGTTACTGAATGAGTGTTGACATCATAACCACATGTGTTGATACTGAATAATTACTCTTTTTTTTTAACCATTGCTGCCCAAGTGTGCAGTTCATACTTCTTAAAGATAAAGTCCTCATTTCTTCCCTTCCAATTCTTCTTTCCACATACAAAGAGTCTTGAAGTGTTTGGATTGTGAAAATAGTATTGCAGTATCAATATATTTGCTGATTATGTTTCTGCAGGACTGGAACCCCCATTACTTTGTCCTGACCAGCAACAAAATCTATTATTCTGGAGAGACAACCAATGATTTGGGAAATGAGGAGGAGGAGGAGCAGAAGGAGGTATGTAAAATGAGTTGCCATCAGTTCTTATGAGGAACATAATCATATTCAGTCCTCTCAATCTTGGAAGAGTGAAAGTCTAGAAGGAACTTCCTTTTCCTGTATCAAAAGTTTGGAGGGTCTAGTGCTATCTAATAATTGCCCACTGTCAAGTTGATTCCAACTTATGGTGACCCTTTTCAAGATTTTCTAGGTAGAGAATACACAGAAGTGGTTTACCATTTCCCTCTTATGGGGGTGCCTGGGACTGTGCAGTTTGCCCATGACGGCTAGAAACGTAGTGGGGAACTGAACTCCCAGCCAGTTACGTAACTAGTTATCTAAACCACTGAGCTGTCTATCCAGCGTATGCTGTCTAAGGAGGTGTTATCTAGTCTTATCCAAGTTGAATCTCTTAGGCTAGAATTGTAATAGATAGACCACAACATTCAGTTTTATCTTGTTCACCTCAGCCTGTTTTGAAACTCAAAGCTAAGATCACGTTGAGAGTGAGTCGGACAAGACCACACTCATGCTTTCTGTTTGCAAAGAGCAAGAGCCATGATACAGCTGCCTAGGCAATGCGTTTTAAACAGGGAAGTGGGTGAAGGGGAGGAATGTGGGGCTCAGCACCCAGAGAAAAGGGAGACAGAATGATATATGTGCACTCTTTTAAATAGCATTTGCATCACATATTGCATTGTAGGAGTTGCTGGCTCCCAGCCTTTGCCACTTCACAAATGTATGTGTCCGTTTATGCGGTGACATAGTGATGTGTTGAGGAAAAGTTGTTAACCACTTTGACTACTGTTGCTGTGTTGTGCTGAATTCTCAATTTGATTGCCTGGGTTCTGAAAAGAGATTAAAAAAAGAAAAGAAAGAGCTGAATTTCAGAAGATTAATAATTATAATAATTTATTGTCATTGAGTGTATATATACCATATACACATACAACAAAATTCACAAAGAACAGAGACCATAACAAAACACACACACCCTCATAACAATCCTAAAACCCAGAACCCTGCCTAAGAGCACACAGTATCCACACAGCATACAACACTACAGACCAAGTAATAGTAATACAGTCCAACAACTCATTGCTGGTGATTCTTAAGTTCCTTCTTAAGTTCAATTATAGCTCTAGGATAAAGACTGTTCAAAAAGTGTGTTGTCTGAGTTTTAATTGCTCTGTATCTTCTGCCAGAAGGCATCAGTTCAAAGAAGTTATAAGCAGGGTAGGAAGAATCTCTAAGAATATTAAATGACTTCTTTAAGCAGTGGGATGCAAAGATACTGTCCAAGGTTGGGAGCTGAAGTCCAATAATATTTTGGGCAATTTTAGTAATTCTCTGTAAAGCTTTTCTTTTCCATTTCAGAGGAGCTCCCATACCTTGAGAGGATACCATATGTTAGGACACTCTCTATGGTACTACGATAGTAGATTAGGCATCCTTCAGTCTAGAGAAACTATGGTAATGTGCTCTGAATGGAAGACTTGGAACAGTGTTTAGTGTGGCTGAGAAAACCAATTCAAGAGTGACAATCCTTTCAACACTGAAGACAAATCCAATTTGTCCCCTGTCCAGCTCCCTGATTTTGCTGCTTTCGGGACTGCCTCTGCCTCGGCCTGCTGAACAAGGGTCTCTTCAAATTGGGAGAGGCCATGATGCACCGCCTGCCTCCAGGCTGAACGCTCAGACATCAAGGTTTCCCATCTGTTGAGGTCCATTCCTAAGGCCTTCAGATCCCACTTGCAGATGTCCTTGTATTGCAGCTGTGTTCTCCCTCTGGGGCAATTTCCCTGCACTAATTCTCCATACAGGAGATCTTTTGGAATCCAACCATTAGCCATTCTCACAATATGCCTGAGCCAACTCTCAGGAAATACAGCCTCTTCTGTACCTTCTTCACCAGCATATTAGCATTTATAGACCATGAGAAATATGAAATATTTCTGAAATATAGATACATTGTATCTATAATTGTAATTGTTTGCACTGTAAGCGGATCCCTTCCATGGAAAATTTAGCTGGCAAGACCACCTTTTGATTTCTCCCCTAGGTGAACAACAGCACTGAACTCCACTCTACTGAAAAGTGGTTCCACGGCAAGCTGGGAGCGGGACGTGACGGGCGCCACATAGCAGAGAGGCTCTTGACAGAGTATTGCATAGAGACAGGAGCCCCTGATGGCTCTTTTCTGGTACGAGAGAGTGAGACCTTTGTTGGAGACTACACCCTTTCTTTCTGGTAAGAATCCCTAGCTGTGGTCTCATTCCCCGCAACGAGATATGTAACTGAAGTGTGCAAGTTCACAGCTCTAAGGTGTTTATTCAAGTGGTAGTTCTGCACTGTTGGGCCAAGTGTGGCCATCCAGATGCTCTTGGTGTGCAGCTCCCATCTGTCCTGCTCACCATTGCTCATGGTGAGGAGTTGCAGTCAAATAGCAGTTTGCCCCAGTGAGCTTACATCTGTTAGGGAAATTTATATATGTCATTGCACTTAATGTTGGGATAGGGAGAGAATGGCTAATAGTCTGTTGAGGAGGTGTGTGTGAATTTGTAGTAATGAGTTGTTTTTTAGCAGTTTCTGCAGTTTCCAGTATTTGGTCCCATATGATTGTGCAGATGGTAACTTTATTGTAGTCCCCAACCTTGGGCTTCCAGATGTTCTTGAACTTCAACTCCCAGAAATCCTGGCCAGCAGAGGTGGTAGTGAAGGCTTCTGGGAGTTGTAGTCTAAGAACATCTGGAGGCCCAAGGTGGGGGACCACTGAGGATTGGGTTAATAAGTAGCTAATCAAGATAAAACAAGCAAACAAGCAGCTAACTTTCTCAGAGTTGTTCAGTGAGCTTCATTAACAAGAAAAGGAAATTTGAAATTTTGCTTTGCCTTGGCAAACATTGCCAGGGCAGCTTGCTCGCTGAAACCTTTGCACACTAATCTTCTATTTGTAGCCCCTTGGACAGTCTCAGCTTCTGTTTCTAAGCTTCTAGCAGTATTTGCTAAGATGTTTTCCAGTGGTGGCACTGCGGGCTAAACCGCAGAATCCTGTGCTGCAGGGTCAAGACCAACAGTCGTAAGATCGAATCCATTCAACAGAGCTCCCGTCGCTTTGTCCCAGCTCCTCGCCAACCTAACAGTTCGGAAGCATGTAAAAATTCAAGTAGATAATTAGGTACCACCTCGGTGGGAAGGTAAAACAGCGTTCCTTAGACACACTGGCCGCGTGACAACAGAAACTGTCTTCGGGCAAGCGCTGGCTCTACGGCTTGAAACCGGGATGAGCACTGCCCCCTAGAGTCGGACACGACTGGCCTAAAAATATCAAGGGGAACCTTTACCTTTTCCAGTTTCAGTGCTGAGGGATAGATATTTGTTCTTATTAAACACACTCATGCATACATATCCACAATTGTTTGTACCACCACATTTACTAGAGCCAGGGTAAGCCAAGCACATTTGGTAGAGCCCCCCCTCCCAGTCCTGATGCCGTATCCCCCAATGCCTCAATCTGTTGGTCATGATTAGTTTTAGAATAAGACATACCCAGCCATCTAAAGTGGGTGTGGGCAGTGGCAAAATTATCTCCACACCTTCTTAAAAAGTACAAGTAAAAAGGAAAAAATAGGGCATTGCAGATCACCCTGTGAGGTCTGGAGAGAGGCACCTGTAGCCATGAGAGCTCTAGATGTAATCCACCCTTATATATGTCAGTAAACTCTCATTATAATAGAACTGACTTCTTAATAAACAGGCATATGTCCACACTACTAATGCTTCCCCCACCTTCTTGCTTGCAGGCGCAATGGGAAGGTACAACATTGTCGAATACATTCCCGGCAGGATGCTGGCAGCCCCAAATTCTTCCTCACTGATAACTTGGTGTTCAACAGCCTTTATGACCTCATCACCCACTACCAGCAGGTCCCACTCAGGTGTAATGAATTTGAAATGAGGCTGACTGAGCCTGTGCCCCAAACCAACGCTCACGAGAGCAAGGAGTAAGTTGGGGACCGACAGGAGGGTCAACTGTAGTTTTCCTGCCCATTTTGTTGCATAAGAATGCTGGTAGAATTGTGAGTGTTTCTACTGGTGTCAGTTTACATGATGATGATATGGATTTAAGTGGTGATTTGTGAAAGTAGCTTAAGGTTATGTGGTTCATTATTATACTTCGATGCTGCTTTGTGATCCACTCTGAATAATTTTGGAAAGGTAGGATAAAAATATTTTGCACAAAAACATTTGATTCTCCTCTGACAAATAATCAGTTCTAACAAAATCTGTGATTGGAGCCATTTTAGATTTCATTTTGGAAATAAAGAGAATGGAATTTGTTTAGCATTGGAAAATAACTTCTTGCAAGAATATTTAATCTAGTTGGGCCCACTTACTGCATTCTTTGAATCCCCAGCTAGAATCAAGAGGTCAGAGACCAGTATCCTCCTCTAGTGTTACATATGCATTAGCCTATTGTATTTCATGAGTGCTCTTTGGTGCTTTTGAAGCAAGCAATAAATATGGGAATATGGAACTCTGGGAAATAAGAGCCACCAGAGTTGAAAGAACAGCTTGGCCTTATCACTGCAGCGTAAAGCCTATGCTACACCGTTCCAGGAAAATCGCCATTAAGCGAAAACATCATAAATATTGATGATAATAATAATAATAATAATAATAATAAAAGAAACATATTGAAACCCGTTCAGTGCATTCCAGTGGGGTAAAAACTCACCGTCCAGTGAAGATCCTCCATACGGCGGCCATTTCCGCTGCCTGTATAGCGAGGAATCCATCCCTAAACACAGCGGGGAGCCATTTTAATTACCCGGCAGCCATTTTGAAACCGCTGATCAGCTGTTTTAAAAACATCGTTTTGCGAAGAATCGGTTCCCGAAGCAGGGAACCGATCATCGCAAAGCGAAATTCCTCCATTGTTTTGCGATCACGATTGCAATCGCAAAAAGACGTTGTTGAGCAGATTCGTCGTAAAGCAGGGCAATCGTAAAGCAAGGCGCCACTGTACTGAACTTACCTTTGAGTTACGATGGACATTTAGCCTGCTATTTGAACCACTGCAGGGACAGGCTGATGCCCTCTTAAAGATGCCGATCAAACAATGTCTTTGTTGAAGTGAACTAGCCTGCCCCCAGAAAATTCCTACCTGCACCTTTCTTGTACCTGTAAAGGGGCTTGTACATTTTTGATTGAGGATAGGATCACTTTCCTTTGGTTTGTCTCTCCAGCACATGTGATAGCTGGGAATGGACAAAAGGAAGCCTTCCTCTTTGACTTTTCCAATATCCTGAAGCAGCTTCATAAGAGAACTATCTGATACAGGCAAATTAAACACTTTCTTAGCTCCATGGAAATGTTTAAATTCCAAAGCATGTGGAGGCTATCTTTGGAAAACCAAACCTTCCTGTGATCACATGTCTGTGTGCATGCATGCATGCAGCATTTGCAGCAGGAGGGGTGGTTTTTCTTGACTGCCTCTTTGAAAGGAAAGTAAACAAAAATCTCCCTTGTTACCCTTTCCTATCCCCCTCCCGCTTCTGACAGTGGGCTGTGGTGGGTCCCAAATAGGGTAACTTTGAGTCCGTATGCCATTTAGATACGAAGAATGCACCAAATGTTACACTGGATCTCTTAGTGACTCTATTAGCCCCCTCCACCCTGCTCCAAAATGGGCATGTCGACATTCCCTAGGCTATGCCCAGCAGGATTTGCTTGCAAACCATGTTGAGAAAACTAATTTGCATTAATCATAATCAGAGTTGATGCAGATTGACTGATGTAATTACTGATAACCAGGACCTGAATCAATTATTAATCCCAGCAAGAGAAGATTTATTCAATCACTAGGATTTGCATAGGTATTGACTATTTTTCAGTAGTTGTTTTAATGGGTCTACCCCATCTGGGACCAGCAGCAGGATTGAGGACTGTGTGTTTGCTTAGAGTGAAGGGTGCATTTGTTTTTCAGCGGTCAGAGCTGCAAGAGAGACTGTAGGGCCTGCTTCTGATCTATGACTCATTGGAACCTTACGTCTAACCAGGCCCAGTAAAAAAAAGGAAAAAAGAAAAGAAAACTTGGCTTATACTGCTCTGTCATCCTGTTTCTAGGGTGAAAGCATAGCATTCAATCTATGGGAAAAAATCTATCGTCAAGCACTTTTGTTGTTGTTATTGCATGAAATAAATGTACTCCTGGTGTCCCGCCATTTGACTGTTGTTGACAGGGATGCTGAGCTTCCACTTACATCATGGTATTTTCCCCCCAGATGGTACCATGCTAATCTCACACGCACTTTGGCTGAGCATATGCTGATGAGGGTTCCAAGAGATGGGGCCTTCCTGGTGCGCAAGAGGAGTGAGCCAAACTCTTACGCAATCTCTTTTCGGTGAGTATGTTGGCGCCCAGAGACTGCGGGTCGTTACTTAAGAAACATGCCAGCGTGCTTGCAGTAGAAGGGTAGATTCCGCCAGCGCTGCCTTGCATGCACCATACTTTTAACCCATTATGTAATGATTGTTTGGGAAGTTTGTTTGCTTGTTTAATTAATTTCTTATTTTGCTGGCCTTTTCTCTCTTAGGGCCGAAGGGAAGATTAAGCACTGTCGAGTGCAGCAGGATGGCCAGACAGTCATCTTGGGTAACTCAGAGTTTGACAGCCTAGTAGATTTAGTTAGCTACTATGAAAAGCACCCCCTGTACCGAAAAATGAAGTTGAGGTATCCAATCAATGAGGAAACGCTGGAGAAGATTGGAACTGCGGTGAGTGGGCCATAAGGCCTTCTGTGGGTAGCAGGCCGTTTTATCCTCCTGCTGAGGGCCTGCTTGTCTCCCACATGTCACTTACCCTTCCTCTAGATCTGTGGGCATCATCTTCATACCTCTGTGTTTTCTAGTCCTGTCTAGCAAGTGAAAAACACAACACTTCTCACCCAGCCCAGAGTACTAGTTTCCATATTTCTCTGTCCTTTGATAAGACTTGAATGGATTTATACTTCCTATGTATTTTTTTTTTAAATCTAAGGATTGGAAATATTTGTAAATGGGGGGAAATCTTCAACCCCCCACAGGCCGTGCCAGGTCGGGAAATGGCCTCAAATGGCCCAGTAACGGGGTGTGAGGACCAAGTAAGACTTGACATTCTCTTCCTGTTTCAATTTTTGGATATTGACAGGGTGCTTCAAGGGGCTGTTTGTTCCCCCCCCCCCCGTAAGAACTAATGTTCCTAAGAAGGTCCCGAAACAGAAATTCCCAGTTCTTGTGTAATCTTTTTTTGCTGCAGGATGTGTAGGACTGAGAGCCTAAAATGACCCAGGGAGATGTTCCACTTTGCATATTACTGTCTTTACCCACCAGCTTGCCACCATTTGAGTTCAGTCAGTCTCTAGCTGTAGAAGCAGTATTTTCTGCCTCATCTTTCCTGCAATCATTGCTCAGAGAACTAGCAAGAAAGGTTAATTTAGACAGATGTATCCTTTTTGTTTCTTTCTCCAGGAGCCGGATTATGGTGCTCTCTATGAAGGACGGAATCCAGGATTTTATGTGGAGGCAAACCCTATGCCAACCTTCAAGGTATTTTCTTAATATCTTTGAGAATATCTTATTGACCAAGCTGAGATCCATGGGCATGTTTCGTAAATCAGTTTTGTGAAAAGTTTGCCCCCTCAGTTGAGAATGAAAAAACGTACAGGCAACATTTGGGGTTCCTATATGTTCTCACTTTCAGGATAGAGTCCTGAATTTAGGTGGAAGGGGGGCAATATTTATTATTAAAACGGCTCTGTAGAGGAAGGATGAAACATTAACACACCCACACACGCCAATCCTTTGGCATTACAGTCTCATTCTGGACCTGATATTCCTCCATTTGCTCTTTATAGAGATTTTTGAAAGATGGAGATGCATTCACGTATTTATGTCATAATCTATACTTGGGCTCGAAGTTTCTTATGTAAATATGGTGGCATTCACATAGCATTCTGGGATAGGAAAGAAAGATACTCCTTCCTTGAAACCCCTGATGGTCAGGCTGATGCTGGTAAATGGCAGAGACAGAATTTCTGTATAGGATTTTGACCCATATCTTTCATTGGTCCCCTTTTGCATCTTGTTTCAAACAATAAGATGTTAAGGGTACACATATGACTTTGAAGTTGTTTGTGTATGTAAGCTTTGTAAGTATGGCTGGAGGGAGAAAGAAATCAGAATAATAGGTATCTGGAGGTAGGCAAATTCTCTGCCAAGCATTGGTTTGTTCCTGTTTCTTATTTGTTTTGTTTTGTTCCTGTGAGTCTACTCATCATAGACACTTATCATAGCTGCTTATTTTCAGATGGGGAGTAATATCTAATCATACATGGAATCTTATGCAATCCCTTGCAGTAGTAACCTCACTTTTTGACATTTACAGCCACCCCAGTTTTTACATTGGCCATGTAGTCTCATTCCCTCTTTTCCTGTTTGTTTTGCTTTCAGTGTGCAGTCAAAGCCTTATTTGACTACAAAGCTCAACGGGAAGATGAACTCACCTTCACAAAAAATGCTGTGATTCAGAATGTGGACAAACAAGAAGGAGGCTGGTCTGTGTTCCATGCTTCTCAGATACTGCATTTTGGAGAGCGGAGCGTCTCTCAGAGATCAAGTCTCAAAGTAGCCAGAAATCATGAGCCATCCACTCCAATTCTGATACGAACTTGTAGAAGAGTTTTATTTTAGGATGCAATTTAAACATACAGGATGATAATCTGATTCTGTACTTCATTTTTGAAATTACGTATTTGGCAGTAGACCTGGGTCTGGGAATCTCTGTTTGTTCCCAAGTATTGGACCTAAGTTGTGAAACATCATCAGTTTCCCTTTACAGTTCCTTTTCCTTCCTCTGCTTCTCCCCTTCTAAGCCTTGAGTCCATCTCTGTCGCTGGAAGTCCATTTCAGCACTTGGGTCTTGGCCAAGGTTCCCTCTAAGGTGTGCACCTTCGCACATGCGATTCTGCCCCCCTCCGCGCAGCTTTCCTCCTCCTCCTCCATGTGATTGTTTTCAGCCCCTTTGGTTCCAGTTGTGATGGAACCCTGCACGCGGGCAGAGCCCCACCCAGCGGAGCTAAAAATTAGAAGGAATGTTGGTCTTGGCCCAAGCCTTTGGGACTTGATGGTGACAGTTTGACTGTGTGGTGGATCTCACTTTTAACATGTACATCATATACTCTTAGAAACTATTTCCAGTTGATTATAACTCTTTAAAATTCTCATTTTATATCAGTTTGCACTGCTTTATGTCTTCTAGGGATGTGTTATTGTCTTATCCTGCCTGAAAGCCTCTGGTGTGGAGTGGAATATATATGTATATATTAATAATTATCTAATTAAATTGTTATATAAATTGCACTTCTCTCAGAGCTTAGGCCAGTTACTTTTCAGACTGTAACTTCCAGAACCTCTTACTGGCCAGGCTGGCTTGGGGAGTCTTGGATTTGTGATCTTGAAAAACAACTTTCCCTTCTATTTTGCAGCTGTTTGGGAGCAGCATGTGCTTCCAGGCCTCAAAACTGCTACTAGTTCAGTCCTTTCATCAGGAACTCTTTAGCACAGAGAGAGGACATTTCTGTAAAAGATACCCTGTTTCCCCGAAAATAAGACCTAACCTGAGAATAAGGCCTAGTATGATTTTTCAGGATGCCTGTAATATAAGCCCTACCCCCCCCCCAAAATAATCCCCAGTCCTCCACCATCGTGCAGCAACCAGAAGAAGATGACATGACTGTATTTGAATAAATGTAGATTGTTGTACATGAAAAAAAAAATCCCCTGAAAATAACCCCTAATACATTTTTGGAGTAAAAATTAAGATAAGACTCTTGTCTTATTTCCGGGGAAACCCGTTAGTTTTCCTATAGGTGACAGAATAGCTCTGTAGTTTTTCTGTTCCTTGGGATCAAAGCAGAACAGCAATTACAGTGGTGCCTCGCTTAACGATTTTAATTGGTGCCAAAAAATTCATCGTTATGGGAAAACATTGCTAAGCGAAACGCGTTTTCCCATAGAGATGCATTGAAAACCGGATAATCCATTCCAGTGGGAACGGATTGCCATCCTTAAGCGAAAATCGCCATAGGAAACATCGCTAAGCGAAACGCGATTCCCAGATTGGAATGCATTGAAACCTTTTCAGTGCATTTCAATGGGGGAGAAAAAAATCACCAGAAATTCAAAGAGTCAGAACGAAGCCAAATTTGGTTAACAAAGGGTTTATTAAGTGCGCTAACGATTTCAAGCACTCTAAACCCTTTTTAAACAATTTAACACCTTTTAAAAATAGCGAAAACGGAGATGTCAAAAACATCGCTAAATGAAACAGGGGGACCTAAACTGTCATCATTAAGCGAAGCAAGGTCCCGAACATCGCTATGCGAAATTCCCCCATTGGAAACATCGCTAAACGGAGCGCAAGATCGCTCCAAAAACCTCATCACTAAGCGAATACATCGTTAAACGAGGCAACCGCTAAGCGAGGCACCACTGTACTCTACCTCCTCACAAAATAAATCTGCCTTTCCGTCTACTTGCTCAGTGCACAGTTTATAAGGTCTGCTTAGTGCCACATGTTTGTATTCTGATTAAATAATTTTTATTTTCAGTACAGAATAGTTATTTAAATTTTATGCTGGGTATGTGGAGGTTTGAATGTGCATATTCTTGTTTCTCCCAGGTGGAGAGGAGACTATGGAGGCAAAAAGCAGCTATGGTTCCCTTCTAATTATGTGGAAGAAATAGCCAGCCCAGCTGGCCTGGAGTCGGAAAGGGAGGTGAGAATAAGGAAGGAGAGAGCAGCAGAGGTCCCCTTTCTTGCTATTCGAAGTCTGGGTTTATGAGCTTATTTTTAATATGTAAAAAAAGTTTCCCCCACCTCTGCTCTAAATTAAGCTCCACTGCTATAAGATGGCTTTTCCCCTGAAGAATTTGCAAATCAAATTATTGTCCACACTTCATTTTCCTGTGAGTTTATTAATGATACTTCTGCACTGTTTAATATTTTAAAAACCCTTAGCACTTTTGTTATATTAAGCAGTATATAAGCACAAGAAAAAAGCAAAATAAAATATTAATCTTAAATGCCTATACAAGGCCATAGTCCTTGATTAAAGACTGTGAATGGCTTTCGTTTCTCCCCTTTCCTGCTCACAGACTCAGGAAACGGTCAGTGATGAACCCAGACATATGAGAGATGCGGAAGTGAAAGAGAGATAGTTGAAGAAGCAGTGGAGCAGCAGTTAAAGCAAGGGCAGAGATTTCCAACATTTTTGGTAACATTTAGCTATTTTAAAGCAGAGCACCTGCCCAGACGTTCTTTTGGCAGATTGGATGATAAATATAATGCAATGAACCAATATGCTGTGAATCCGATGTGGCATGTTAAATAGAGTGATGGAGTAGTACTCTGGGCGCCGGGATTCAAATTTTCATTTGGCCATGGAAAGTCACTGGGGGAGTGAAGCTGGTAAAAACACTCCTTAAATATCTGATTTGCCTTGAAAGCCCTGTTAGGGTTGCTGAATTGATGGCACATAACTACTGTAATTGACTAATATGCTGTGAACTTGCCTGTAGCAACAGCTGGATGAAAATAGCCCCCTAGGAGACCTGCTTGGAGGTGTCCTGGATGTCCCAGCTTGTCAAATAGGTAAGTGTTGGGGCAGGCTGGAAGAAATGAGCAATTCAGATTTTAGGCCTTAAGTATTTTCACAGTACACGATTCAGTCCCTTTCGTTACTGCTGTACAGGCTTTCTCTTACAAAGGCTTTATTCCTGGACCTACAACCGGTGTTCTTACATTGGGCACGGGGCTACAGAATTGCACCTTCTGTCTAGCCAGCTTAATATATGGAGAGAGATGTTGAGATTTACAACTCACTAGAGGCCCCACTCCTGCATTCGATGATCTGTGCTTTCTCTCCTGTGTATGTAGGGCCATATTGGGTAATATTATTTAGGAACGTTGCAGTTAAGAGTTTTCTGCCCTGATACACACCCATTGAAGATACATAACTGGTCTCAGCTAGACAAGAATCATTTTTCCCAGTTAAAGTCTGAGGATTTGGAAAGAGCAAATGGCTTATTGTCTGCAGGACCTAATATTCAACCTGCTCGTTTCCTTCACAGCCATCCGCCCTGAGGGTAAGAACAACCGCATGTTTGTGTTTTCAATCAGTATGGCTTCTGTGCCACGATTGTCCTTGGATGTAGCAGCCAACTCGCATGAAGAATTGTTGGACTGGGTGAAGAAGATCCGCGAGGCAGCCCAGACTGCTGATGCCCGAGTAAGATATGCTTTTCCCCTTAGATGTAGCAATTCATAGATGTGAACAATACCAGACCGTGGAAGTTTTCCTGGCCGCCACAGAAGAGTACAAAAATTCCTTTTCCCCCCACTAGGGTTTGGATTCTTAAAAATTAAGCTGATTTCATAAGGTTGGATTTAGCATGGGATGTGTTCGGTCATCTTACTTACTACCTCTGGCAATGATGGGCTCCCTGCTCGCTCTGTCAAAGTGTCTATAGGTTTCTGGCTCCCTTTTCCCCTATTGTAGAAAAGTTTTGCTGTTGTAGAACAGATGGCCCAAAATAAAATAAAATCCTATCAGTTTTTCAAGTCACAGTAGAATCTGATGGTTTGTGATTTCTTATTAGTGAACTTTAATTTTGCCATCACAAATGCACCTGCTTCAATGCTGCGGTTCGTAAATAGTGTTGATGTAGAGACTAGGAAAGCCAGATTTAGGAAAGCCAGATTCTAGTCCCTATGGTGACCATTTGCCAGGCACTGAGGCTTGACTTCCCTTGCAGAATTGTGGAAGAAAAGCAGGTTATGCATGTAACCGATGAACAGATCAATAAATCAATATTACAAGCCCTGCTGTCTTTTCCCCTACTTTGGCAGCTCTCTGAAGGGAAGATGATGGAGAGGAGGAAGAAAATAGCACTGGAACTTTCTGAGCTAGTCATCTACTGTCGCCCGGTCCCCTTTGATGAAGAGAGTAAGTATAGATGACATCAGACAAGTATTATTTTATTTATTTTATTATATTTATTTAACTTATATGCCGCCCACACTACCCAAAGGTCTCTTGGGCAGCTTACAACATTTTAAATACAATAAAAAGACAAAACAATTAAAATGCAATTAAAATATATACTCTAAAAATTGCCATCGGATATTATGCTTTCTGTTTGGTGAAATTGTTGGAGTTGTAAAAATGACAAAAACAAAAAATAGGTTTATCTGCTTTGCAGAACCAGGAGGTTTTCTTTCCAGTCTTCTTCCCTGGCATGGACGGTGACTTGACCTGACTGAGGAGCTGCTCCAATTCAGTCTGCCTCGTTTCTTTTGCAGAGATTGGCACAGAGAGGGCTTGCTACAGAGACATGTCCTCCTTTCCCGAAACAAAGGCAGAAAAGTATGTCAACAAGATAAAAGGCAAGAAGTTCCTGCAGTACAACCGGTTGCAGCTTTCCCGAATCTATCCGAAGGGTCAGCGGCTTGATTCTTCAAATTATGACCCCCTCCCTATGTGGATTTGTGGCAGCCAGTTGGTCGCACTGAACTTCCAGACACCGGGTGAGACCCATCTTTCACTGAGAAGTTTCAATAATCACAATAGCGCGTCTCTGCAGCCGACTAGTTTAGAGCCTCTCCGTGTGCCAGAGGAAATAGCAATAGTTTCTACTTGATGCGGTGTTCACTATCACATTATTAGTGACAGCTCTCTTTTTTGGTGCTTGCTCATGTTTGGGGTGGTTCATATTTTCTTTCATCATTGAATTTTGCAGCTCTTTCTGTGTGTTTCTTTAATGACTTGCGGAAATGAGCAATTTTTTTAAAAAAATGCCTAAATTTGTCTCCTGATCAGAATGCCATCTATTTTCTGGGGGTTGGGGGAGGGGAACGACACATGAATCTAACAGAGCACCAAACAGCTAAAAGCCGGGAGCCTGGCAGCCATTTTGTTCTCTTCTCCGCTCCTGCCCCCCTTCCCCGCCTAACAGCTGATCGGCTGGCTCTTGAGATGCATCTGGAGGCTTGCTCAGCACCCAAAAAGGCAGGGGAATAAAGCTGGAAATAAAAAATGCTGCTTTTCCCTTGCCCCCGGGAGGCTTCTGAAAGCGGGGGATCTTTATTCCCCTGCCACAAAATGGCTGCCAGGCTCCCCGCTTTTAGCTATTTGGTGCTGTTTTTCCTGCAGTTCAGGGGCTAACAAGGCCTGGTAAGTGGCTTTCTTTTATTTATTTTTAAGTTTCTGACTTTTCCCCCCATACGAATGCATTAATTAATTTTCAATGCATTCCTATGGGGAAATTTGGTTTCGACTTACGAACGTTTCAGCTCACGAATGGATTAAGTTCGTAAGTCGAGGGCCCACTGTACCATCCTTACCATGTATGTGCCCAAGTGTTTGTGTGTTTTTGATTTCAAACTGAAATGTGTTTTTTTTTAAATTTGTAATTGACATCTTCCATTGTTGTTGCAAAGGCTTTCTACTAATGCTAGGGGAAGGGTGAAAAATGCTTCACCTGCTGAAAAAGTACACTTCAATTTACATAGAATTGCATTTAGAGTTTTATGAACTGTCCAGTTAGCATATATTTTTGGTAAGAGTCTAGTTCAGTGGCTCCCAACTTTGGGTTCCCTGATGTTCTTGGCTAAATTTCACCACTAGCTGTGCTGGCCAGGATTTCTGGGAGTTGTACTCCAAGAACATATGGGGACATAAGTTGGGAAGAACCGATCTAGTTCAGAGACAGTGCTGCAGCCCTGAAATGTACTATTAATGCTCTGCTAAAACTGTTCTTCATAAAAACACTTCTGTTGTTGTAGACAAACCAATGCAGATGAATCAGGCCCTATTCATGTCAGGAGGCCGGTGTGGGTTTGTGTTGCAACCAGCTAACATGAGGGATGATATATTTGATCCCTTTGACAAGAACACTCTGCGTGGGCTGGAGCCACTTTCCATCTCCATTGAGGTTTGTGTTTTGCTTGTCTCGGACCTGCTGCAATAAATGCTTATTTCTACCATGTTGTGAGCGAACATTTCTTTTCTTCCATTCTCCCTGTCCTAGAACTTCAAAAGACCACCACATTCCTTCCTGAATGGACAACATTTACTGTATTTTTCGCACTATAAGACGCACTTTTCCCCCACAAAACAGGGGGGTGGAAAGTCTGTGCGTCTTATGGAGTGAAGAAAACAGATTATATTTTCCTGTTTTCTTCTCCTAAAAAATTGGTGCGTCTTATGGAAAGGTGCGTCTTATGGAGCGAAAAATACGGGTATGTATTGTATCTGTATTTCCAAACATCCCCATTTCCGTTATGAAATAGTTCTAATTGAACCAAAAAAAAGAAAGTAATAAAATGGACTGGCATATTTGGTTTTACAGTAGTTTGGATGTAATGGCAAATATGTTTTGCGGTACAGGAGAGAGAGATAACTTGACCCCATGTTGTTGGACTGTGCTTGCATCATTCCTTATCATTAGCTGTGCTGTCTACAGCTGTTGAAAGTTGTAATACGATGATATCTGAAGGGCCCTACATTTATCATACTAATGGATAAGAGGCTCTCTATCCATAGTTCCTCCTTATGGCCAACCTGGGAGTTTTGTTTAGTTTAAGCTGTAATTTGCTAAAATACACAGTGATCAGAAACCATGGTTTGATCCTGGCTCGTTTCAATAACCTCTGAAGAGAAATGTGCCCCAGCACCAGCTCTGCTACATAATTTGGAGTGGGAGAAGAATGGCATCATGGCATATTCCTCTTAAGAGGACTCAGACTGCAGATTCCAAACTTTTGTTGGTCCCTTGGACTAAGGTGGCAAATTTGATGCTTTGGGCGTTTTCCCACTTGACTCCAAGGCTGTGAAATTCTCTCTTCCAGCACCTTTGTATGGAACCAGAGTTGGACAGATGTATCAGTTCAACTCAGAGCTCTAGGTGTTGCGTGCAGGGAGAGGGCAGCAACTGGTGTGTTTTATTTGAAGTTTTTAGCTGGTTTTTAGCAATTAGTTAATTCTTTTTTATCACTGCTTATTTTGAGGAACTTTATGTTGATGTACAGGTTCATATATACCAGTGATGGGAATTTGAGTCACGTGATTTGCTGTCAAGTTGGACTTAAGTTGACCCAGTGATTCATCTCGGACTCTACTTTGGTTTTTTCCAAAGAGTTGGACTTGACTTGCAACTCGGAACCCAGCCACCCACCCTTTTTTCTGGGGAAGAAACCTTGTTTTTACTTGGGACTGGGTACCACTTAGACTTAGGACTCAGACCCAAAGACTTCTCAACATACGTGATTTGCTGTCAAGTTGGACTTAAGTTGACCCAGTGATTCATCTCGGACTCTACTTTGGTTTTTTCCAAAGAGTTGGACTTGACTTGCAACTCGGAACCCAGCCACCCACCCTTTTTTCTGGGGAAGAAACCTTGTTTTTACTTGGGACTGGGTACCACTTAGACTTAGGACTCAGACCCAAAGACTTCTCAACATCTCCGGGCCTGCGCTGATTTTCATTTCCTTGGCTGGCTGATCTTCGCCAAGACAACCAGAAGATCTCTGAAAGCAGAGAACACAAAACGGTTTGTGAACCCGTTGTTCTGGCTCAAGACGATTACTATAATGTGTGAGATGTAAAAGCAAACTATGGACTTCTTATCTCAAACTCTGAGACCTACTGCCAGTCAAAGAACATGACCCTGAGCTTAGATAGGTAACTGATTTGATTCCTCATAAAGCAGATTGATAGGCTTATATTTTATGTTTATAGTGGTGTCGTGTAATTGAGTATTATATGAGTGAAAATCTTGTTCCTGCATAAATTACCAAGTAGTCTAGTTATAGGGATCTTGTCTCCCCTTGAGTAGTTGGACCTCCTTGGACCATTATGATGGGTAACCTTCAAAAATTAATGGCAAGAGTCTTTTAAATACAGTAGATGATAAATGAGAGAAGACACCCACTGGAACTATTAAGAGAAAGCAGTTTTATGAGAAAGATGATAAAACATACTGTCTTCTGACACCCATAGGTGGCTCTCTCCACTTAAAAATCGAGTCTCCTGACTTTTTTGCACTGCATGCCAAAGGGTTGCTCATTTTGAAAGCGTAGGCATGATTCCGGCTTTATCACTGAAGTGAACAAAAGGTCTAGGGAGACACAAACGAGAATGCATATTCCCTATTACTCACTGTTTCCCTGTCCCATGATAGGACTCAGGAACATGTGCTTCAGCTATTAGACTTGCAAATGAAGCTTGTGTTCACCTCTCAGCAACCATACTGAATGCAAGATAGGAAGGCAAATAAAATCATGTGCTGTGAGAGACAGATATACAGTACCTCTTAGTGGAAGAACAGTGGTAAGCTTATCCGTCTAGTTTGTGTCTCAGTGATAGCCAACTTTACCAAAATCAGAAACACTAAAGCTCACTGAAAGTGTCAAACTGAGGTTAACTAACCATGACTAACTTGTTTCAGTAGCTTCAGAGAGGCAGCACATTCCTAAGCATGTTTGCCTAGAACTATAACCCCATGTGTTTCAGGAGGCTTGCTTCTTAGTAAGTGTACAGAAAGCTTTGGTCACGACTGCCTTCAACTTGATTAGAGCCGGTGCTGTATCACAAGATATCACTGCCATGCATAGGTTTTTCTTTGACTCTTTGTATTTAATCCTATAAGGGACGTGGTGGTGCTGTGGGCTAAACCGCAGAAGCCTGTGCTGCAGGGTCAGAAGACCAGCAGTCGTAAGATCGAATCCACGCGACGGAGTGAGCTCCTGTCGCTTTGTCCCAGCTCCTTGCCAACCTAGCAGTTTGAAAGCATGAAAATGCGAGTAGATAAATAGGTAGTTAGTTGACTGAGTTGTGGATATCCATTTTGCAGGGTATGCTGCTGAGAAAGCTGTAAAGTAATGATGCAATGTGATCACTTCTACCTGTCCTTGATAGGTTCTTGGAGCGCGGCATCTTCCCAAAAATGGAAGAGGAATTGTTTGCCCATTTGTAGAAGTTGAGGTGGCTGGAGCAGAATATGATAATGCAAAGCAGAAGACCGAGATGGTGGGTGAGTACCTGGGTAGATTGCTCAGAACTCTGGTTGGAAAATAGAGCAGCATCTTTTGTGCCTCCTAGCTCAAGAGGGCACGTTGGAACATTCAAACTCACTTCCTTCTTATATAGTCAGACCGGTATGTAGTTGATGATCTGACACTTCCTGAGGTCCCTTCCTCTTGGCTTATGACTCTGAGCTGCTTTTCTTAGGCATTTCCAACATGTGAAGATGAGGTTTGCAAAGGTTCATCATCTCCTTGGCCAATTAGCGTCAAATGTAGTTTGAGCAGCTCTTTGAAGTGGCAAGGGGTATTTCCTGTTCACTGAACAGCTACAAGCAATTATACAAGCAAAAGAAGGTCTACTTTCTGTTTTGCTGCAAAATACAGAGACAGACCTGATGGAATTATGAATTACCATGCAGTGGATTAAGTTAGATGAGCAGAACATGGTTGGAGAATCAAAACAAACAAACAAAAAATTACTTTCCCCAGTTATCCTTCCTGTTTCTTCTTGCTTTTTTGTCTTCATATACTATGTGCCCATCACCAGTACATGCATTTCATACAGTGCTATGAGCAGGCTGGACAAAAGTATAGTCTAGGGACAAAGTAAATTATTAAGGGGCTCTGCTTGGAAGTTGCCACCAAGTGAATTAGTATACCTTTCAACTTTTGTGTATTTTTTATTTGTTAAAGAAGCTTGCTGTCTTTTTAAAAAATTTAGTGTTATGGAAACGTTGACTCTTGTTTCCTATGGGTTTGCTTTCTGCTCACTGATTCCATGAAATTTTACTGTATAAGGATTGAAATGTTGCTTCACAATTGTCTCTGTGTGTGTTTTGAAAGGATGGGTATACCTGGGTAAGTAATAAATTTGTTCTTAGTCTGTACTGTTTCTGCAAAAAGAAGTCAAGTTTACTAATTGGTTTTCTTTTGGGGCACAGGAGGGTGCTGAGGATTCCGAAGAGTTTATTACACTTTTTCTGGAAGTTGACTTCTAAAGAAGTGATTTTAATACGTCATGTACATAGCGTTACAGAAATTAGCCTGCACTTATTCCGAAGCATCTTGTTAAAGAACTAGTATGCATCAGGAAGCAGTTTGTACAGTCCTGGCCAGTTCTTAGAGCAGATTGGCCTTTGTGGATAATAAAGTACATCTTCTTGTTGACTATGTTCTAATAACACAGGAAATAACTTATTATCATAGTACTAAAGTAAGAAGGAAAAACAGCAGGGGATCCATGGCCACAGCTAGGAATGGATGAGAATTTCAGTTCAAGTTAATTTTTTTTAGTAAGAATTTACCAAAATTCACAAATATCTTTTTATTTGGGATGGAAAGAATGTGAGGTTTTAAGGAAGTTATATGCAGGAGGAGCCAAAGACAGTAGACGTCTCTATCCAGACCCACAGCTTTGGAAGCCAAACTATTAAAAATTTAAATCCTGTGTATTTAACCATGTGCTAAATTAAGGTCACCACTTCTCTCTGTCGCTGTCCCACATTTACTGCGTTTCGCTCTCACACACATACATATACAGTGGTGCCCCGTATAGCGAGGTTAATCCGTTCCGGATTAACCTTCGCTATATGAAATCTTCGCTAAGCGGGAAGTAAAAAGCCATTGGAACGCATTAAACTTCATTTAATGCGTTCCAAATCGGCCCTAAACTTCCCACTTAGAGAAGTTTCCTGGCCCCGGGCAGCCATTTTCGCGCCCTCCCCTCGCTTGCCGAGGGCGCGAAAACGCCGCGCGGGGCCATTTCGGGTCGTTTTGAAGCCGCAAAACAGCTGTTTTGCGGCTTCAAAACGGACCCAAAATAGCGATTAACCTTCGCTAAGCGGGAAGTAAAAAGCCATTGGAACGCATTAAACTTCATTTAATGCGTTCCAAATCGGCCCTAAACTTCCCACTTAGAGAAGTTTCCTGGCCCCGGGCAGCCATTTTCGCGCCCTCCCCTCGCTTGCCGAGGGCGCGAAAACACAGCGCGGGGCCATTTCGGGTCATCCGGCGCCCATTTTGGAGCCCCCGAATGCGGCTCCAAAATGGCGGCCGGACTCCCCAATCGTCGCAATGCGAGGTGCGGCGATTGAGTGCTCCGTATAGCGATCCCGAAAAAGGGGATCGCTATACGGATTCGTCGTTATACGGTGCGCTTGCTAAGCGAGGCACCACTGTAGTTTGAGAGGCTGCTTATCATTAGCACTCAATGGCAGAAATCTGCAATGTGGTCCTTTTGTGTTTGGAACAGAGATGCTGTTGCAAGTGGCTTCAGAAAATGGAGGATTTTGTTTCGGGCTTTTTTTATAGAATTTACCAAAAGTTATAACTCAGAAAAGGCTTCAGGAAAGACTGAAAAAGATGAGATGTAAAAGAAAGGAAAACCCAGATTTTCACAGCCTTCGCTGCTGCTATTGCTACTACTGCAGCAGCAGCATATTGTATATGCTTCAAACCCTACTTGATTGTATTGGCTAGTTTTGAGAGCCAGTGTAGGTCAAGGAGGTATGGTTCTGTGGGTCCAGACCTGGAGGATATGACCTCAACTCACACTGGATGCTTTTAATCAAGTCAGAATTTCATGGCCTCAAGTTTGTTGTGTGCTAGAGCAAGGCCTTGCCTTGGGAAGAAATGCAAGAGGAAGCTTTTGGCTAGGTGACTGAAATTTTGGAAAGGTATCGGAATCCTTTAAAAAAAATCTTTAACAAGTCTATTCATAATGTACATTACAGATGGGTAAAAAACAACTGGTTTGGCAGTTCATGCAGGTCCATTTATGAGGTGTTCAGCGCTTCAAAGTTCCACTGCCTCTGAGTGAGTGCCCACTGGGAGGCAGTGGCCCAGCTTTCTTGCCTTCCTTCTTCTGGGCAATGTGAGCACCTAAGAGAGAAGGGAGTGGGCTTTGAAACGCCCAACGTCTGTCTGTTCAGATGATACATCCACCAGCATGAAATGCCAAACCGGCAGTTGGTGCCCATCTGTAATGTATACTCCTCTGCTATTTTAACAGCTAAGGGGAGATGTCCTTTGATAAGTTAGATTGCATCCGAGTCTACGTATAGAGCCAAGAGTGCCCCACTCTCAACACAAATGCACAGAAAGCGGGTGGATGCACACTGATGATGGGATAGCAGTAACAGTCTGTCTTTGGCAGCTGGTTGAGTTAGGGATAGGAATTGCACAAATGTCTCCATTGTTTTCTTTTTCCTTGAGCATGTGCTTGCAAAGGTTATAGTGTTTTTGCAAGTACCCAAGTTGAATGCTCACTCCCCCTCCCCTCCACATCAGACACATGCCTAAACTACTCCTAGGACAACTGCAATTTGGGGGAGAGAACAACTTACTATGGGAACACTTGGTGAAATGCATCAGTAGTTGCCTGCTCCCATTCCCAGCAGCACCCCCCAAGTTTTCACCTCATGCCCTAGGGAAACATAAGATGACAACTAGCATAGGGTATGATGTGATGTGGCTCTTATGAAAAAACTGAAGCTGATGGTGACAGGACAGGAAGCCACCTCCCATGGAGTGTTCTTTATGCTCCCAAGCCAGCCCACTCCAGCTTGTAGCAGTTCTCCTGTGAACAGTGTTCAGATCATCCTCAATAGTGTATCAGTTACAGTACCTGAAATGTTTCCTTCCATGGATTTGCAATAGTATCGGAGTACCTTGAAGAGCTATCCTTAGGGGGGGTCGGAATGTAAGCAGAAGCAAAGTAGTGTGCCTGCTCTAAGTGTACTGTGCTTGCCTTGAATTCTGCCTGTTTGTCCCATAATTAAGCAGCCCTGCTTCCCATGCTAACCTCATCTGTGGTACGGTTGCCTTCACCATCTGTAACTTGGACATTCTGTCTCTTAGAGCTGAAGGAGGGAAAAGAATCATGACATACTTGGTACCGCTGGAAGGGCTGAAGATAATTTCCAGAGCATAGTTCTGTAATCATTTGCAGACAAGAGTCTGTTGGCACCATCAAGGCTTGACAGGTTTACTGTAGCCTAAGCCAGCTACTCTTTAAAGGAGTGTATTCCTCTAGTGTGTGTGTTTTTAATAATGTATTTTTTGTTTCTTTCACATATAGTGGACAATGGCCTGAATCCTGCCTGGCCCCAGAAGGCATTTCAGTTTCATATCCATAACTCTGAGTTTGCCTTCCTGCGCTTTGTGGTGTATGAAGAGGATATGTTCAGTGACCAGAACTTCCTTGCTCAGGCCACCGTCCTTGTTAAAGGCTTGAAGACAGGTATGTGTGGGAGGCACCTCCTTTCTTTCAGAGAGGAAGGAAGTGGACACACGTGGGCACATGTACACTAACTATTAGTGGGCCACTTTAGTCAAAGTACTTCCACCAATCCTTCTCTCCCCTATGTGTCTTCTTCACTCTGCTTAGAATAATGCACAGCAACACATTTTCCCGTTTTGGTAGAAAACACAAACCTCGGTAGAACACTAGGTTAAGTAAGGCCATAACACTACCTCAGCTTTATACCTAAGCAAGACACAGAAACGGTGTCTATTTCCCATCTTCATATATTTTTCATATGCTATGTGACTCCATGTCTGTGGTTATTTCTTTCCCATCCTAGCTCATTTTCTTTTCTTTTAGGATACCGTGCTGTGCCTTTAAAGAACAACTACAGTGAGGATCTGGAATTAGCCTCCTTGCTGGTTAAAATAGATATTATTCCTGGCAAAGTAAGTTTGAGACTCAAGTCCTGACATGGCCTAACATAAAAGAGTCTGGCACAGCTTGTTGTAATTGCCAAGACCAAATCTGGCCAAGACAGGGGCAATTTACCATGACGTTAGCAAGGGTTTAGGTAGAGCAGCCTGATTTAATCTGAAGTGGTAGAGATTAGACAAGTAAAATTATACCAGACTGTCTTTGAGAATTACAACCTTGTATCTTTGTTTTTCATGATGGCACATACACAGTAAGCCAGAGTGTGTGTTTTCTGTTTTGATGACAAGTTAATCTGCCACAGGATGATGTGGCAATATGAAGAGGTTAAACTAGATTGGCTTTTGAGTTCTTTTCTTGCCTTTTGTGCTTTAGCATTCTGTGCCCCAATTGTTACCAAGGTCCAGAGCCAGACAGATAAATAGTTTGTCTATACCATTCGCTAGTGCAACAGGGCAAGACAAATGTGCTATGCATGCCAGTCAGCCCACATGCACTTCTGTGGGTTGCCACTGAGAATTGTAGTCTACTCACTCAGTAAAGGGTGAGCTTTTCTGTGTTCTTCTGTTTCAGAGCTTGGGGAGGTGGGGAAATGATTTTTTTAGATGACAGCTCCATGCTAGCGGAGCATTCTGGGAGCACCTAAAGAAGTCATTTTTTCAAGCTCTGGTTTTGCATGCTATCCAAACTTTTTTGGGAACTTAACCTTCTGAAATGTGGAAAAAACTACAAATATTTCTCTCTAAATTTGGCACACTACATGTTTATTTGTTTGTTTGTTTGGATTTCTACCCCGCCCATCTAGACCAAAGGTCTGCTCTGGGTGGCAATATACCTACATACTAAACCTTACACGCACCTTTTCCCATCTCTGGAACTAAAAATATAATAGCAACAGGTAACTTTAAATTTGCTCCCTTTTCATGGCAACACTATGAAACAGCTGCTTTGCTGAGAACTGGGCTGTGTGGGGAGACGCTATCCTTTTTTCTGAAAAACGTAATTCTGCCCATGTCAATTCTGAAGCAGGAGAATGGTGAGATTAGCTCCTTCGGGGCTTCAGCCTTCCGAGAGCGGTCCATAGATTCCCCAGGGCAAATCATGGCAGGCCGAGCCAGAGAAGGCTCCTTTGAAACCCGGTATCAGCAACCATTTGAAGACTTCCGGATGTCACAGGAGCAGTTAGCAGACCACTTTGACAATCGGGACAGAAGGTACGAAGTGCTCCAGATTTGTAGACTAAGGTCCTAAAAGTAAAGGGGAATTTGGATCTTTTATCTGCAAAGGCATTTTTGGAGAACTGTCTCCCAACTCTGTTGTAGCTCTCTTCATGTAGAGAATTCTTATGTGGAGAGGAGAGCCTCCACTATGCATGAATGCCGGAATAGGGCCACTGAATGTTGGCCATAGGAGATTGCTGAAGAAATGACCATCCTGTGATAAAAGTTTCAAATGAACTAGGCTGATATGTGACTATGAGAGACATCATGTAAATAATACGTTCATATGAGTGGAAATCTTACTGTTCTGTCTTGTGCTCAGATGTTCATGGGATGGTAAATGCAGTTTGCCAAATGACTGAATTTTGGTAAATCATGACATAAAGGATGTGACAGATAAAGTGTGGGTTTTCGGTAAGAAAGATCGGAGTTCAAAGAGAAATATGGGGTAAAATACTTTAAAGACATAAAACTGCCCTGGCTGAGTCAGGTGTTCAATTCTCCACTCTGTCTCGACACAGGCTAGACATGATCCATAGGGTCTTTTCCAGCCGTGCAGTTCTAAGATAATTACAATTATTATTAAAACATCACTTCTCAGTTTCTATGATACAACAGGGAAACTATAAATCCTTAAAGAAAAGATAGAGTACTAGTGTGAAAAGATCAAACTATGATGCTTGGTATGTATTTCCAAAGAAAAGGAAATGAGGACCACAATATGTGGCTGTTGAACCTGTTAAAAACCAAACATACTGGAAATGACTCTCAGCACAAAACAATCCAAGCAGCACACAGAACTGGGCTGCAATGAGTCATGTGAAGTTGTTTTATTTTGTTGTGTCAGCTTTTAAGTGCTTAGTTTGCCTGATTCACGGTATTCCAGTTCTGTGCTGTACTAAACCTGTTCCTACCACAAGTCCTATTGTAATGTGTGTCTGTGCCATCTGTGAGACAGTTGATTTCCTTTTTTTTTCCCTGCAGGGTACTGCGAAAGACTCGGGTGAATGGGGATAACCGCCTCTAGCTCAGCATTGCCTGCTGTAAAGCACCCTCCAGTGCTTGTGATTCTCACGGATTGCTGTGAACTGGTTTCTATGGAAACGTCACTGCTATGGCCTACTTTCAGGCAGCTTTTCCAGTTTCTCTTCTGAAAGGGTGTTCAAGTGGAGAAATTTTTAAAAGAACCAAACCACGAATCAATGGTTTTACTGTTTTGACCACAACCTGCAACAGACATTCCAAAAAAACAACAAAACAACAACAACAAAGAGGTTTCTCAGCACCAAATCAGAAACTAAATATGTTGAATGTGTGTATCGATGTCTTACCAGTTTCTGAGGCTGGATAGAAATGCCAATTATCAACTCTTTGTCCCCATGACTGTAGTTACTGAAAGAATGATACCTCAGAGCTGCAGTCAATGCAGCTTTCCTCCACTCAGCTAACCAGACCTGAATTTTTATTGTTATTATTATTGTTGTATTATTGTTGCTATTATTATTAAAACCCTTAATCACAGCTTGGGCACAGAAAGAGAGGTTTCTGGGAGGGAGATTTCAATGGCAGAAAGAAGTGTATTTGTTTCTTTTGGTATTAGAGCACAAGTCCAACAGGGAGTTGACAGAGGTGGCCTCTGTGGCCATCTCAAGCTACACAAGGCCCTCTGGGCTGTCTTTTCAAAACAAAATGTCAGTATTAAGGAGAGCTGGAGAGCTCCTGGCTCTTTTGTTCTTGATGGAGCCCACCTTGCCTTATCTGTGGTTTAGGTGCGGAAGACCATAAACTAAAAACTGTCGAAACCACCTCCTTCCTTTGGGCAAAAACCCTGTCTTGACAAGTCTGAGGCAGAATTAACATGAAGATTTTGCCGTATAGAAGTGATAACTGAAATATAAAGGTGCAGCTCTGGGGGTGGATGGGTGGGGTGAAAAGGGATAATCAGTATGCCTGAGCCAAAGCAGCCTCTGCAATAGAATAGAACTCTTGCCAGAGAAATCAGTATTTTAATTCTTGTTCCCTTCACAAGGACTTTCAGCCAACAATAAGGGGGCAAAACAATAATTTTAAGGACAGGTACAGGACAGCAAGAGCAACGAATTTTCACGGCCAGCATTCACAAAGAGGTTCTCCATCACCTGTCAGTTTCCCAAGCTATAAAAGCAACAGGCCAGTATCCTCCTCAGTATTTACACATATGTGGTCCAACTGCAGAACCTCCCAAGGCTGTCTAATGAAGTTCCAGTCATGTGCCCGAGGTCTGTGCTTGTCAGCTCACCACAGTGGTGTCTGCAGTTGGAGCTTTGCATGCGCATAAATATTGAACAAGGTTGTTGACCACAGGATTCCTGTGGCGTTCATCTCGCCGGTGCACTTCTGATTTTAGAGAAGACTTCTTACATGAGACCAAATAACCTCCCTTTTTCTAAGGAAGCTTCTGACAGCATTCGTGGGGTCAAGCCCCCAGAAGAGATGGCCCCCAATATGTCATGGATAGACTGTGAACATAAAAAGGTTATACTATACCCACGCGCCACAATGAAAGTAAAATTTGCTGCTGTCCTTTTCCTGTTAGACATGTGACATCAGCCCAGGAGTAGGACTGAACTTACTTAGGTTGCTAGATCAGGGTGTGTACGTCTGTCAAATATGCTCCAAACTTCAAAGACAAGCTCCAACATATATGGCAATATTTCCTGTATATAGGAGGGGCTTAGTCGTGTCTAACCACCAATTGTGTATGGATTGTCTTCAGTCAACTGGGATGGAACAGACTGCACAATAAAAGTCCTTAAGTAACTTTTTGGGGTTGACTCTTTTTGTGGGTATGTGGGTGGGTGGAATGGAGAAGTAGCAGGGGATGGGGGAGAAAACTAACTGTCCAAGCCCTGTGTCTTGCAATATTTTTCTTTGGACTCTGTATTGCTTCAGAAGTGACGAAGAGGCAGGAAAGTAGGCAGAATAACGAGTTGGCATCAGTATGTGTGTGAAGCCAAATTGCTGAAAAGTGACTGGGGTAGTTGGTTTTGGATTAGCGGGTTACAAAATAACTCATCCCGATACTACCTTAATTTCCTTTGGGCCAATGGAATCAGCTGTTGATTATCAGAAATGTGTTCCATTTTCACCTTATCCTGGACCTAATTATATTTTTATTTCTCTGGAGTTAATTAAAAGATTAAATTTTGCTGAGAAACTTGTTCCAAAGTTTGAAATGTGTGCACAAGGGTTACTCTGTGTCCATATAGTCAAGCTGTTCTGTTTTCTGGGTGGATCCAACTGCTGCCACATACTCAAGAATCATTACTTTCCTCTTGTCCACATCCTGCTCACTATGTCTTTTCCTACAGCACCTGTAGATTTCAGGCTGTACCAACTAGGCTTTTAAACTTGTCTGGATGCATGGCACACCTTATCCTACCTGTTAAGACATATAAAATCCTGGACAGAAAGCCAATACTC